GTATTATAATAATTATTGGTTAATTAATATGATATTGTGCTAATGTTAGTGTTAGCATATTACTTCAAATTATTTCCAAAGAGATCCCACCAAAATAATCCTTTTTACATCTATTAACTTTTTTTTACATAAAATATTAATAGGGTTAAAATGGTATTCTTCTTCCTATACAGTACTTGTGAAAAGGTGACAATGACTGCTATCTAATTTCACAATTATCTGTGTATATTCCTTGCAATTTCCCATAAAAGAATTCATAATGTTTGTCCTTAGATAAATAAAAGATTTGAATATTCGTCTTTAAGCAAAAAAAAAGAATGTTTGTCTTCAAGTTGATAATGTATTTTAGTTGTGGGTCTATTTTGCGCCATGACATTCTTCATGGATGAATCCATTCTTTTGGACGTTTTCCTATAACAACTATTACCAACCTCGTATTGGTCCCATGCAAAATATTTTATAGTTGATTCTTGATTGTTACTCCAAAATAATATTTTCTTCATAGTACTCCAATATATTACTTTATTTAAATAATTATCTAAAATCCACCTCGTATAGTCGTATTCTTTTTATAACAAAATATTTTAAGAAGAGAAGGGTTACTTTCTATATATATCACATTTTAATTTTTTTTGGTAACTTATATAACACATTTTAATTAGGCATGCTGCTTGCACATTTTAGATCAAGTCACGTGATCCTATATGCATCTATATATACATGATCCAAAATAATCCAAACTTTTTGAATAAATATGACAAACAAATTTTGACCGATGATGTATATATTCAGTTGACCGATGAATTAGATTTAGGGGTTGTAATAATGGAAAATCAAATTGATACACAAAACACACTTGGAAATGTGACGGTTTTGCCCCTATTTAGGTTGAGGACATCAAAAGACGAGAGGTGACGTAAGGAGAGAGAAAGTGTTTCTTGTGTCAAGTGGGGGGACAACACGTTTAACGAATAAATGTTGTAAATCACTAGTTATGACCTGCTAGCAAATAACATAGCAATGCTAGCAAAATGTGTTACCTTTGAGTTATTAAATAAAATATTGATTTTTTCGGTTAGAAGTTAGAACCACGGTGTTGTAATTTGTAAATCAGCCATTGAACATTGTCTCTAGATAATGCTGAGAGACCCTCCTTAATTTTCGCTACAAGGAAGCAAATGGAGAAACTTGAGAGTAAGGTTATATTGGACTTTCTCATGGTGAACAGTGTACGCTGACTTGTGTCAGATATGGTCATCATTTGTTACAATCTCTCTTTTTTCTTTCAGATTTCTGTTTTGTTTTGGGAAGAGTGAACTTTAGATCCCCTTCTTTCGGAACACTCTCTATGATAATAAAATATCTTCGCTATTTCCCATATATTTCAATTATGCCCCTTTAATTTTCTTGCTTTTCGTTTACGGGCGTCGTACGTAGTTTTATTTTTGAAACAAACGACCCCACACATTTGTATGTAGCATTGAAATTCTGAGATGGCTTTATCTAGGGGTAGATGCATATAGGTATATTCTAAACAACAAAATGACATTTTCATTTCTCGAGTCTTGACCAATCAATTAAGATAACACTTTATAAATGCAATTAACTTAGTTAGAAAGAAATTTGATAGGACTATATAGTACGATTGTTCAATAACAATTTAATATTAAAATTCCTTCATACTTTCATGTAAGATAGGAGTTTGTTCAATAGCAACTCAATATTATTATATTACAAATATATGGAATTTACATGTGAGTATACGGATAACTCTAAAAAATTGACAACTATGCGTTGCTGAGAAGCTATAAGAAAGTGTCCAAGATTAAGAGAGATTACGATGAGGAGATATATGTGTTCCCAAAATTATCATGCCCTTTTAATACCGTATTAATTTTAGTTTGAAAATATATAAGTAGTGTTGATTTCTTTAAATAAACGTGCGAATGATTTTTTTTTATAATGGAGTGTTTTGTAAGAGTTCAATAGCTTTATAGTGACATTAGCTGGCCAGAAAGAAAATAAATGCAACAACTTTGAATTTGGTTTTTAATTTTTATTACAATCATTTTCCATTTTTTCTAATGAAGCCAAATTACCCATTAGATTAATGAACCTCAACCTTTCTTGCCGTGCAAGCAGAATGTCACTATAACATTCCTATCAATTTTCTTGAAGACTGGAGAAGTTCGAAGTAAGGGATATGAGTGAAGAAGATATGCATGTTTGACATATTTATTAACGCAACGGGTTACTTGTTTCAAGGATGCTTTTGCTTCGGATCCAATGGATATAGAACCGGTGAGCAACTTGTTTCATGATGTAATTAAACGCTTGGGAGAAGTCGCAAAAGCATATATAAGAAACAAATCGGGTTTTTGTTGTTGATATATTTTACCATACCATAAGATTTGTTTTGGCTATTTTGGTTTTAAAAACTCAGTAGATCTTCTTTACGTTTAAACATGTTTTGTTCAGTACTTGTTCCTCAAAATCAATATTTTATTTAATAACTCGAAGGTAACACATTTTTTTTTTTGACACAATTCCATCATTCTCATTAGACCAAATCATGTTACACTTTGATTATCCAGTTGTACATAAGTACTTATCCAACTAGGCAAGACAGAATACAACTTAGGATCATGGTTCACAATGAACAAGATTCCCTTGCTATCCTATCCGCTACTCCATTACTCTCCCTCGATCGGAAAACTACTTGATGGCATTGTAACCTGTTGAGCATTTGATTGACATCGGTTGCAATGGCTGTAAATCGGGGCCAGTCATTTCCATTTCCATTGCTCGAAGGTAACACATTTTGCTAGCATTTCTATGTTATTTGCTAGCAGGTCATAAATTTACAACATTTATTCATTAAACGTGTTGTCCCACTTGACACAAGAAAAAACCATCTCTCTCCTTACATCACCTCTCGCCTTTTGACGTCCTCAACCTAAATAGGGGCAAATCCGTCATATTTCCAAGTGTGTAATGTGTATCAATTTGATTTTCCATTATTACAACCCCTAATTCTAATTCAAAATAGCCAAAATAAAATACTTGGTCCGATCCATTTTGGATTATGACTAATTTATAGATGTTTTTATGTAAGACAATAAATCTTCTAAATTTTAAGCAACATTAATAGTTATCATAATAATCCGCTGCTCCTCAGTTCTTTGTACTTTAAGCCCTTAACGATAAACCAATAATATTCCTTATTTGTTTTCCTTTGTGTAATGTTTTACATTTATAATGATAATACATTTTATGCAACCGAGATTGATTTAGTGAGAGTGTCACTAACATTCTTATATATTAGTTAGTGCCGTTGCAGATAAAGTAGAATTTGCAATGAGGTGTCTCAGTGAATTAACTTGTTGAAATTCTAGATAGGAATACCAAGATCTCTCGTCAAAATAATTTGGAAACACAGTTTCTAGCTCTAATTTTGAGAGATTGCGACCACCTCCTCTTTGACTGCTTCCTTAGAGAGAGACAATATGACCTAATCGTCTCAAAGTCAGGACTAGCTTCTTAGGAATCTTTCCTTACCCTAATGATCTCCACAAAGCAACAATTAATTATAGCTTGGCACATCTTCACGATGCTGAATACCAATATACCATAAAAGTGATCTTAACCAATTGTACATATCAATGAGCATGAAGATTGCATCCTAGTTCTTTCTCCCTCTCTCAGTTGTTGCTTCTCCAGCTCTTCTTAAACAAAGCTTAATGGGTATTTTCTGCCAAACAAAATGTTTGTTTATCGCATTTTTCTACAGTAAGTCTTCGGCCACATTCGCACAAAACTCACTGTCCTGATAGGGGAAATAAGATAACAATTTGAAATGTTTGTCCTTCAATAAATAAACGATTTGAATACTCACTGTCAAAATCGCAATCTTAGGAAATGACAAAAAGGAGTATGATGGGGTCCTTTATGGCGCACCATTATTTAGATCACTAAAGAATTGATAATGTTTGTCCTTCAATAAATAAACGATTTGAATATTCGTCCTTACACAACAAAAAGAATTGAATATTTGTCTTCAAGTTGATAATGTATTTTAGTTGTGGGTCTATATGTTTTCATGGATGATGAATCCCTTCTTTTGGACGTTTTCCTATAACAACTATTACCAACCTCGTATTGGTCCCATGCAAAATATTTTGGTTTAGTTGATTGTTACTCCGAAATATTACTTTATTTAAATAATAATCATTTAAAAGTTATATTAAATAGTAACCAAACTATATGAAATATCCGACATAAAATCCACCTCGGTTTAGACGTCTTTTTATAGCAAATTATTTTAAGAAAGGGTTACTTTCTATAGTAACCCATGTCCAACCTCGTATAGTCGTATGGGGGTCGTCCGAAGCAAATAATTTAGTTTAGCTGATTGTATTGGTTATCCACTTATCCCGTACATTATTTTATTTACAAACATACTGTATATTAACCAAACTATAGATGGAATATCCGATCTGAATCTTATATTTCTAGGTTGCATTCTGGCATTAATAAATAATGTAAGCATTTTAATTAGGCATGCTGCTTGCACATTTAGCTCAAGTCACGTGATCCTCCATGCATCTAAACATGATCCAAAATTATCCAAACTTTTCGAATAAAAGTAGGAGAAATATATGTTTGGATATAAAATATTTAAGCAGGCAAAGAAACCAGTCGGATGTTTCAAACAAAAGTAGCAGAAGTATATGTATGCATCAGTATAATTATTAAAGCTGGCAAAGAAACCAGTCGGATGGGTCACAAGTATTTTTGCTAATAAGTTTATTTACAATTACAAGCAATCCCCTACGTACTTTTCTTACCTGTAGTGAGTAAATCTTTTATCCGCTCGTAAACTGTAACAATAAATCAATAAATCCAAAGACTGTCCATCTCTTCTCTCTTCTCTCTTCGCCCATTCTCTCTCCAGCTGCTTTTCTGGTTTCTCTTTTTTTTTTTCCGTTGAAGCTAAACAAATGGATGTCGGCGGAGTCACAGCTAAACAAATGGATGGTGTTGGAGATGACCCCGACGACGCCTCCGACGACGCCTACGACGACGCCTCCGACGACGCCTACGACGACGCCTCCGACGACGCCTCCTATGGTGGTGGTGGTGGTGGAAAGAAAGACCAAAAGAAGAAGAAGATAAAACCAAAGCCAGTACAGATAGAAACGATCAGTCCATGGGACGACAAATTTCCTAAGGTTAGCATATTCATCAACTTTTTTTTCTTTCTGAAAAATGGGTTTGCAATTTCTTTAAATAATCTCAAGTTTTCTTACTCGCTTTCTTTAAGAGTCATACATTTAGTAAGTAAAGGAGACAACTTTCAAAGAGTCCGATTCTGATTTTTTTAAGCTTGTTATTGTGTGGATCTCTTTGATTTTTGACCCTAAAGTTTGTTTGATTCTTAACCTTTCGGTATTTGAAAATGGGTTTCAAGTTTTATGACTCGTTTTCTTTAAGAGTCATACATTGGTAAGTAAAGGAGACAACTTTCAACGGCCGATTCTGATTTTTTAAGCTTGTTATTGTGTGGATCTCTTTGATTTTTGACCCTAAAGTTTGTTTGATTTTTAACCTTTCGGTTTTTGAAAATGGGTTTCAAGTTTGATGACTCGTTTTCTTTAAGAGTCAGTCATACATTTGGTTAACGTGAGAAGTAAAGGAGACAACTTTCAAAGGCCGATTCTGATTTTTTTAAGTTTGCTATTGTGTGGATCTCTTTGATTTTTGACCCTAAAGTTTGTTTGATTTTTAAACTTTAGTTTTTGAAAATGGGTCTCAAGTTTTATGACTCGTTTTCTTTAAGAGTACTCATACATTTGGTTAAAACATATATGAGAAGTAAAGGAGACAACTTTCAAAGAGGCCGATTCTGATTTTTTAAGCTTGTTATTGTGTGGATCTCTTTGATTTTTGACCCTAAAGTTTGTTTGATTTTTAACCTTTCGGTTTTTGAAAATGGGTTTGCAATTTCTTTTAGTAATCTAAAGGTCACGCCTTTTTTTTTTAAGAGTCATGAAAGAGAAGATTTAGCATACACACACTTGGTTAAAACAGATGAGTAATAAAGGCGACAAATTTGGTTTTGATTTTGATTTAAATTTTGTTAAATTTGTGTGGGGAATAAACAGGATCTCCCGAAAGGAACAAAAACAACGGATTTTGATTGGTCTGACAGCGATATTGGAGAAGTTATCAGGGAGGTCATGGATCAGGGCAACAGACGTAAGTGATTCAATATATGTAGGAAGTATTAATTTAAGTTTGATTAGTGAGGTTTCAAGTCCGTATCTTTATTGAGGGTTTTACTACTTTTTGGATATCTCAGTCGTAAATACATAAAAAATTGGATCATGCGGTGTAGTTTGACACGTGTTTGTTTAATAAAAGCATTAGTTGGCTTTTGGTTCCATACATGGTGTCAGTAAAAAAATGAACAAGATAGAAACCTGGATTTGTGAATTTGTATTTCTATTTGGTTCCCGAAACAGTTATTGTTTGTGGTTTAGATCAATTAAACCGAATTAGACATTGAAATGGTTCTGTGTTCCCTGTATATGTGTTGGAATCATATACTTGAGAGAACTTAAGGCATACACACTACAAATGTTCGTATTAGGAGATATTTTTTGAGTCATATATCCATTTCTTTTAACAGTGTTGGAATCATAGGCATATTAAGCTTGTTTAGTTACGGTTGTGCATTAAAAGGGAAGCTTGTTTAGTTACCAATCATACACGTAACATATTAACGCATTACGGTTGCGCATAATAAGCTTGTTTAGTTACCAATCATACACGTAACATTAATTTAATAATTTGTCTTTGTAGGTACGTGTTGGACAGCTGCAACAACTAGAAGCTTCTCTGCGAGCCTTGTAATCCAGAAGAGGTTTGATCCACCCCTGTGGTTATCGGCTCTGCATTTACTGGTGGGACTCATCGACAAAGTGGATTCCAAGGGAGGGCTTAAAAAGCTAGAAGATCTACGGAAGTTCATGATCGATCATGGGACAATTCTAGAAGAAGACTGTAGCTGCCCTCAAATGGCTTTAGAAGATAAAAACAACAAGTCTAGACCCGATCCGGTTCCTTGCACCGACAAAGACAAAACCGAGGTAATTTTTTATAATTTTTTTTTTAACCTTAAACTTGTGTTAATTAATGCTTTGTTTGTGATCCCATTTGGTTGTTAAATGTCGTGTCTTTTATTTTCTGGCAGAATATTCGCAAGTTTAAAGTTGAAGATTTGGTCATCTTGGACGAAGTAGACGAAAAAGAACTTATGCGTTTGGTCATCAAAGGTCCCGTAGCTGTCGGTATCGAGGTTTACCAAGACTTCCTTGACTTCAAAGGGGTACAATTTGTAGTTTCTAATATATCTTTGAGTTTGTTGGTAACATAATTTGTCTTAGTTTTCTTTCTCTCTCTCTCTTTTTTTTTTTCAAAACTAGGATGGCATTTACACAGGGCTTGAGACGATAGGCGATAGCTTGGACAAACACTTGTTTCTGCTGAAAGGTTATGGAACCACAATGCCTGACAAGGATCACTATTGGAAGGTCCAAAATTCTGCAGGAACTAAATGGGGAGACAAAGGAAACGGGAAGATCATGCGGCAGACTAGTAGCGGAGCATCATCATCTATCTTTACATGCGTTGTCTACCCTAAGGTAATGATATAATTAATTAAGTCATAACATGTGTTTCAATTTCTATGTTAAGATAACCTTTTCTTTCCTTGTTTTCAGCTTTTGGACTACTATGAGGGGCAAAACGAAGCCGTTTGAGACTGGTTCAAAGATGAAGATTAGATTGCCTGAAACTGAAACTTTCTTCTTAGACACTACAAGCTTTATTTTTCATCTACCGTCTCTCTATTACTTTTAAATCACTCAGGTTTTTTCCTCGGTGAATTATCTCTCTCGATATTTTTGTTTGCTTTCTTTTAAGACATTTTGGGTGTTTATTTTAATCTAGTTTTCTTTTAAGACATTTTGGGTGTTTTAAGTGATTCTACCATGAGAAGAGAGGAAGTTAGCACTTAAGAACGTAATATAACGTCATTTAGATCCTTAGATAACACTGAACAACAAACAAACAGACAGATAAAAGAGCGAGTAGCACAACAACTCCCATAAGCAATAATTCAAGTCATATTTAGGATCCAAATAGATAAAATAAAGCGACAGATGATGTTTCTCGCGCTTCTCATTCCTTGAAGCATACAAAAGCTACTACTCCAACCTGTGAAGAAAAAAAAAAACAATGGAGATTCATTCAACCATACAAAGTAAAGACCTCTTCTAGATATATAGATATATTATTTTACCTTAGTTTCTCAGCAAATTCGTCCACATCTTCCTTGACAGTCCCAAAGTATTCCACTATCAAAACAATCCGAATACTATTAAACCTCAAGAAACAACAATTTTCAGCCGAAACATATCACAAACTTGAGGGAAAAAGAAGCCAGCTTACATACCTTCATGGTTGGGTTTTGGCCTGCAGAAGATGTACTCAGTGAAGGTATTCTTAAGGTGGCGAACCCTTGCTTGGAAGGGTTTAATGATGCCATCATAAGGATCTCTAACGTCGAATGTTATGAGAAACATAATCCCAGCAGCGACGTGGAAATTGGCTTTCTCAACCTTGACAAACTCAAATTTCGTCTCCTGTTTCAGAGAAACAAACAAACACATGTTACGTTTTGTTGGAGTTTGAAAGGCACAATATAGGCATAATAAGACTAGGGAGGGACTAAGTTGTCACATTTCTTTTATTGTAGTCGTCAAGAGAATGCTGAGAGAGCCTCTCGAGTGAATCCCTTAAGGTGTCTGGCTTATCGACAAAGTCATGCGAATTGAGATTAGCGAGATGGTAGTTGAAAATGCAGCGGTACAACTTGAAATTGATATCGAACCCCTGTTTCACAAACAATCAATCAAACCCAAAAATTACGAAGCTGATTGAGGATAAACATATATAACCAAAACCATTAGCTCGACCCAGAAAAGAAAAACGCATATACGTACATCGCTATTATTGACTTCATTCTCCATGTTGGCAAGTTCTTCCTCTGGTGTGTAAAGAGGCTCATCTTTCTCGGTACGAGTCGTGTACGAATGTCTCTTATAGGTACGATCGCCAGGTTCCCACAGCAAAAACGCAGGTTCGAGCCATCTCTGCCACCCTGACACATGTATAATCGAAACCGAAACAAAAATCAAAATCAATCGGGAGAGAGATGTTTATAAACACTCAATTTTGGACAGAAACAAGAGAATTCGAATCGTACCTTCAAATTCACCCATTGCTCCTCACGAATCAAAATTCAAAATATCGCCTTTCGTCAGTTGAAGAACCCTAACTATTTGGGAAAGTAGATTTTTAGATGCGTTCCTCTCTTCTTCTCGAACCCTCTCTCTCTATAATAATATCTGACTATTTTACCACTTATTTCACTCAAGTCCCTTTACGTTTCTTACCTTTCGTTTTTTGCCCTTGTCGCTCTAGTTTTGTTAAAAACCTCAGTACAAATATTTGTAATCTTCCCCTTTTGGCCTCGTAGGCGTAGCTAAATTTATGTTTCATTCATTAAACCTATACCAATCGAAATCAAATCCCAAACACGAGAAAAATATTACCTTACAATTTGTAGCTACACAGTGTTCGTCTTTACTCTTGCACAGTGTTTATCGGCCGCCTATATGTGAGACATGTGTAGTTAACTGTAGGGTTTTGTAAAAAAAAAACCCCAAACTAAATTATTTTTGCAAGAAAAATCCACACCTAAAAAAAATGCAAGTCAAACCACTCACCTTCCAAAGTCACCCGCAATATAGCCCTGCCTATATTGATGACGTGGTATTTTCAGAATTTTTTAAAAATTAGGTTTTTGTGCAAAAAAAAACCTCAAACTATTTTTTTTGCAAAAAGAGCCCCCGTATCAAAAGCTGCGTTTTGATTAGCCCAGTGCATTTCGGTTTTTGGGACGGGAATGAGAAATTTGGGAAACAAAAGATGATACCCGAAGTATCCCTTATTATAACGGGACCGGAAATGACGGGAATGGAAGATAACGGGAAATTTGAGAAGAAAAAAAAATTCCCGAAGTCTTACTAAATCAGGAAAATTGAAGATATATTGGAAATTACGGGAAAATATGGGAAAATGTGAAAATAGAAATTATGGGAAAATGGGATATTTAAGAAAAAAAATATTTTTCAATTTTTATTTTTTTAAACGGGAAAATTGGGAAGTCTTGTACCCTTCTCGAACTCTTCCTTTACCCGTTTAAATAAAAGAATTGTTCCCAAACAGGAAATTCTGTTCAAACAGTTAAGGAAAGGAAAGGGTACAGGATTTTCCGATTTTTTCGTTTAAAAAATAAAAATGATATATATACATTTTTAAATATCCCAATTTTTCCTATATTTTTCATAATTTCCCGTATTTTCCATATTTTTCGTATTTTCCCGTAATTTCTCAAAATATCTTCAATTTTCCGATTTAGTAAGGCTTTGGGAACTAATTTTTCATTCTCAAATTTCCCGTTTCTTCCCATTCCTGTTACTTCCCGTCCCGTTATAATAAGGAAATACTTTGAGTATCATCTTTGGTTTCCTAAATTTCTCATTCCGTCCCATTTTCGTTAATTCCCGTCCTAAAAACCAAAATGCACTGGGCTAATCAAAACGCAGCTTTTGATATGAGGGCTTTTTTGCAAAAAAAAAATAGTTTGAGGTTTTTTTTGCACAAAAACCTAATTTTTAAAAAAATTCTGAAAATGCCATGTCATCAATATAGGCAGGGGCTATATTGCGGGTGACTTTGGAAAGGTGAATGGTTTGACTTGCATTTTTTTGAGGTGAGGGTTTTTCTTGCAAAAATAATTTAGTTTGAGGTTTTTTTTGCACAAAACCCTTAACTGTATCTAAAATGTTGTTATTATTATTATTTTTTATGTCAAAGTGTCATTATATTTATTAAGGTAAAATTACAAAGTCATCATATAATACATCCTTCAGCCACAAAGGCGGATTTAAGCGTGAAGAGTAAAAAATACCATTTTATGGCAAAGTTGAAGCTAAAACATGTGCAACAGAATTATTTTTTTTCTTGGTGAATTTGAGAAAACATTCTTTGAATTTTTGTTTCCAATAGTTAATATCCCAAAAGATATTTTCAATATTGCAATTTTTCTGTTTACACCCTAATACATCAATAAGAATCTTACAATCTCTTTCAAAGATAACATGATTTCGGCGCGGTCAAAAATCCATTGGGAAAAAAAAGATTAGAATTCACGAAGGCAAAGAACCATGCCATGCCTCCTTAATTTTTTTCTGTTAATTAAAACACAAGAAAAATGTAGTTCATGAACTTCATGCCTCCTTAGCTTCTTCAATATTTGTAATGTCTATTTAAAAAAACTGTATGACTTCATTCATGCACTAGATGCATGATATGATATAGGTATATTCTAAACAACAAATTGACGTTAATAGTGACTTCATGAATTAAAAATAACACTTTATTAATTAACGCATTCAATTAGTTAGAATGAAATTTTGTAGGAGTCCCTATATAAGATTGTTCAATACCGATATAATATTACAAATATATTTGACTTAAAAGAGCTTTCATACTTTCATGTGATATATATATATATACCGATATGAGCCCACGTGAACCAAAAATATAGAAAGAAAAACTTATATATATATATATACATTTTGTGAAACAAACTTATAAAAAGAAAAAAAAAGGTCAACCACTTTTAAAAGAAACATTAAATTATTAATGATCTAATATGGTTAAGTTAACGGGAAGGAGAATTTTTTTAGAAATTTTTTGTTTTTGTTGATTTACGATCAACATGTAAACAATTATTTTTTTCCAACATTGATAAAGCAATTTCATTTTTACTTAATTAATAATTATTTGTTAGAAACGCATATTTATTTTCACTAGCCCTTGTATTTACTTTAACAACAAAAAAACGCCCTTGTAATCTTGTATATATGCAACTATGAATATTAATAAAACCAGAAAAAAAGATGAGGATAACAAGAAGATTATAGTAATTTTCTTTTTTAAAAATTGCCAAAAAGTCCAAAAAAGTTATTGGGTTCAAATTGATCTACAATATTTTTTTCGTGGAACTTCAGAGGTTTAGAAGTATAGAGTAAGTAACATGCAATTCTGTGAAAAAGTCAACAGCTAATAAATTAACTAAGTCGGAGCAGAAAACTGTTGTCTCCCCGTTCATCCTCTTTTCTCCATTTCTCTGAAGGTTTTTTTCTTCAACTTTGTTTTTCTCTTTCATGATTTGTTTTTTTTGCTTAGGGTTTTTGTTGTTGTTTATGTTTCTTGTTTATAATTGTATGATGGGGGACAAAGTCGATTCATTCGGTGGCAGTGGTTTAATACATATTGTGTTGATTTCTTCTTATTTCTTTGATGAAAAATGCAGTAAAAATCATAAGTCTGAGCTTAAACTTTGTTTTTGAAGCTTTTGCAAAAGAAATCATGCGTTTTTTTGTTGCTTTTTAGGGTTTTCTCAATTGATAAGGTTTGAAGTTCATGATTCGTGCACTTTTGAGAAAAAAATATCTTGTTTTCTTGCTTCAAGTCCTTTAAATCTCATCGGATTCTATTAAAATTAGTAAAGATATTAATAGTTTGCTCTTCTACAAATTATAAATCATAAACCCATAAATACATGATTATCTATTATTGTAGAATTAAGTCATGTATGAAACTCCAATATATATCATTGTGATGGATACAAGTTCACTTTTTCATGAATACTAGAAAAAATGACAACTATCACACATTCGTTTGGAATTTGAACCAAAAAACAATAATGGTAGTTGGACTTTGTCAATAACGGTCGATAGAGTATATCAAAAAGTAAATGTCAAGAATTTTCAGATTTGTTTTTCACCATGAATGATCAATTTGTTCAACAGATGGTAAAAAAATTAAAAACCAACGAAAATGGGCACAATTGGGCTAATGTAACATTGTAATGGGCTTTTATATTAACCCACATGGCAAAATACAATAATGATTAAAATAAACAAATTGCTATTACCATTAAAAAAAATTACAGAGTTTGTAACCTTTCTAGGGCTTTTGATCGATTCCTTTTCGTAAAAAAAAAAAAAAACTGATTTCGATCCCTAATTCTCTTGTATTTTCTGTTCTTGTTAGTTGTTTCTCTGAAGTAATCATGGGAAGGAACAACACCCACGACGAAGAAGGTACACCAAAAAGCTCTGTTTTTGAATCCCTAATTTCTCTTAGGGTTTTTCTTTTCTTCTATTCTTTTTCTGAAGATTCGACTCTGTTCTTATGGATACTGATGCAGATCCAGTCGAGAATCGAGGCAACGATGAGGAAGAGGAAAACGATGAAGATAATCATTACGAGTACGGTGATGGTTTCTTAGCGGACAGTGATGATGGAGAAGAAGAAGAAGAAGAAGAAGAGAAGCAATGTAGTGATGACGATGAAGATTTCAGTCTCCACGAAGATGATTATCAGCTTATACAAGAAAACAACGCCAGTTCCCAAAAGTTCAAACGTTTGAAGAAATCTTCAGAGGAACATAACGATGGAACTTATGATGATGATGATGTTGAAGAAGACGAGTTAAGATCTTTCATTATTGACGAAGATGATGGTAGAGTGATGGAATGTTCTAAGAAAAGGAAATACAAACAAGGAATCTCTAGTGATTACTTTGGTGATCCTGAGAAGTTCTTGAAGCTTCGAAAAAAGGATTTAGCGATGGAGAGAAAGCTAGAAGATGAGTTTGAGCCAACTCTTCTCTCTGACAAGTACATGACAGGGAGAGACGAAGAAATCAGAAAGCTTGATGTCCCTGAGAGAATGCAGTTGTCTGAAGAAGAAACTGGAACCGTTCCTGTAGATGAAGCTAGCATTGAGGAAGAGAGCAACTGGATTTATGCTCAGTTGAATCAAGAATCTTCGGTTGAAAAAGATGACATTTCAAGGTTCTTGGAGCTGTTTCATGTGCAGAAGTTGGAGATACCGTTTATTGTCATGTATCGGAAAGAGCAATGCCAAAGTTTATTGAAGAGTGAGACTAAGTTGCATAAGGTCTTGTGGATGATTCAAGATTTGGATAAGAAGTGGCTTCTTCTTAGGAAAAGGAAAACGGCTTTGCTTGGTTACTACACGAAACGTTTTCAAGAAGAAGAAGAATTTGATCTGAATCAATCGTTGATCAAGTCTCTGAATGCCGCGGAAACGGAGAGAGAAGTCGATGATGTAGACTCAATGTTCAGCTTGCATTTCCCTCTAGGGCAGTACAAGAGACCTAACAGGACATCACAATATAGCTTCTGCGTCAAGTCAGGTCTCAGAGACGTTGTAAGCAAGTTAGGGTTTAGCGCTGAGAGATTAGGGCTCGCGTTGTCTCTAGAGAAAGTACTTGTTGATGATGAGCTTGAAGATGCTAAAGAAACACCAGAGGAGATAGCGTTTAACTATGTCTCTCCATTGTTTCAAGATGCTCAAGCTGTTCTTAAAGGAGCGAGGCATGTCGCTGCGGTTGAGATAAGCTGCGATGCATCCATCAAGAAGTACGTTCGTAGGGTTTACATGGAGAATGCAGTGGTCTCTACAAGTCCAACACTAGATGGGAATGTAATCATAGATTCTTGCCATCGGTTTTCAAGTGTTAAGTGGCTACGCGAGAAACCCTTAAGCAAGTTTGATGGTGCTCAATGGCTTCTCATACAGAGAGCAGAAGAATAGAAGCTTCTCCAAGTAAATTTTAAGCTTCCTGAGGATCAAATGAATAGGGTAATTAGTGAATGCAGTGAACATTATCTAAGTGTTGGTGTAAGTAAGTATGCTCAGCTATGGAACGAGCAGAGAAGATTGATACTTGAGGATGCTGTTCTTTTTGCCGTCAATGGAGAAAGAAGCAAGATTGTTGCTAACTATTAGAGCCAAGGTTTGTGTTCTTTCAGATTACAGAGAGGCTTTATGGAAGAAAGTGTCTTCAGGTCCATATCGAAAGAAAGAAACAAAGGATGCTAATGAGGAAGAAGCTAAGCCGAGGATCATGGCGTGTTGCTGGGGACCTGGAAATCAAGAAGCTACATTTGTGATGCTTGATTCATCAGGAGAGCTGATTGATGTGCTTTACGCAAGATCCATCGGCTTGCGATATTCACAAGATGTAAATGAACAGAAACCTAAAAAGAATGATCAGGAACGTCTTTTGAAGTTTATGAGGGACCATCAACCGGATGTTGTGGCTTTAGGAGCTGTGAATCTGAGCTGTGTTCGTCTAAAGAATGAGATTTATGAAGTTATATTCCAAATGGCGGAGGAGATGGCGCCTCGAAACGGTGTGATGTGTGATTTACAGGTTGTTTACGCAGACGAGTCTCTTCCTAAGCTTTACGAAAACTCAAGAATCTCAAGTGAAGAGTTTCCACAACAGCCAGGGATTGTGAAACGCGCGGTGGCTATTGGTCGGTATCTACAGAATCCATTGGCTATGGTCGCGGCTTTATGCGGTCCAGGCAAAGAGATTCTTTCTTGGAAGCTTCACTCTTTGCAAGATTTTCTTGATCCAGAGGAGAAGTATGAGGTGGTTGAGCAGGTTATGGTTGAGATAACGAATCAAGTTGGCATCGACGTTAACTTTGCTGCGAGCCACGAATGGTTGTTTTCTCCTTTACAGTTTGTTTCAGGGCTTGGTCCTAGGAAAGCTTTGTCTTTGCAGAGGTCTCTTGTTAGAGCTGGTTGTGTCTTGTCCCGCAAGGAACTCGTGAATCAGCATGGCCTTGGTAAGAAAGTGTTTGTTAATGCAGCTGGTTTCTTGAGGATCCGTAGTAATAATAACAGCCAGTTTATTGATGTCTTGGATGATACAAGAATACATCCTGAATCATACGTTCTTGCGCAAGAATTGGCGAAAGATGTTTATGATCTTGAGGATGAGGATGATGCGGTAGAGCATGTGAGAGATCGACCATACGTTTTGAAAAAACTTGTTCTTGATGATTACTTGAGAAGCAAGAAACAGGAGAACAAGAAGGAAACTTACTGTGATATCATGAGAGAACTAAGCGGAGGTTTTCAGGATTTCCGGAGTCAGTTTAGAGAGGCAAGTCCAGATGAAGAGTTTTACATGATCTCTGGAGAAACAGAAGAGACGATCGGAGAAGGGAGAGTTGTGCAAGCTACTGTTAAGAAAGTATCGACTAGAAAAGCCATATGTGATTTAGATTGTGGGTTAAGTGGTGTTCTAATGAGAGAAGATTACTCAGATGATGAGAGAGACATTCTTGATTTGCCAAACAAACTCTGCGAAGGCGATGTCATTACTTGCAAGATCAAATGGATTCAGAAAGAGAGGTATCTTGTGTTCCTCACCTGCAAAGAAAGCGAAATGAGAAAGAATCTTGAGGCTGTGGATGATTATTATCACCAGGAAGAGGATCAGACTGAGAAAGAGAAAGTTCCAAAAGAGAGGAAACAGTTTAAGTCGAGGATGATTGTTCATCCTAGGTTTCAGAACATCACTGCTGAGCAAGCAAGAGAGTATCTGTCTGATAAGAGTATTGGAGAAAGCATTGTTCGTCCAAGCTCACGAGGGCTCAATCATCTGACCTTGGTCATCAAGATTTTCGATGACGTGTATGCTCACAAGGAGATTATGGAAAGTGGGAAGGAGAAGAAAGACGCAGTGAGCTTACAACGTATTGGCAAAACACTCAAAATCGAAAACGAAACTTTGAGGATCTTGATGAGGTAAGCCTTTCTTCTAACTTCTTGATTTCAGTTTTTGTAGAAGTGAACACAATTATTGAAACGTTCTTGCAGGTTATGGATCGGTACGTTGATCCTTTGGTGGCTCATCTTATGACAATGGTTAACTACCGGAAGTTTCGGAACGGGACAAAGCCGGAAATAGATGATCTTCTTAGGGCTGAGAAGTTGCAAAATCCAAAAATGGTAGCTTATGGTTTTGGGGTTTCACAAGAACATCCAGGGAGCTTTATATTGTCTTACATACGATGTGTGAATCCGCACAATGAGCATGTCCTTTTGTACCCTAAAGGGTTCAAGTTCAGGAACAGGATGTTTGGAGATCTTGACAGGCTTGTAGCTTATTTCAAGAGGCATGTTAATGATGATCCCATGCATTATCATTAATCATCAGTGCTATCAAATCAGGTCAGGGTTTTTTTTGTTGGTTTAAGTTAAACGTTTGATTTTAAATAGGTTAATGTACCAAATGATGTTGTCTTACTAATTTTTTTTTGTTTCTGCAGTTTGATTTCAAGGGTATGGCTTTGTTGATGTTTCAATTCAACCCCCAAGAACTACTTTATGTTATATATATTTTACTTTATGTTATCATCAGTGACTTTATGTTGATAATTTATATGACATCTATAAGGATTAGGTTGTTTTTCTTCTTGATCATCGCCATAAAAAATTTTTTGCTGCTTCTTTGATTTCAAATTTAGTACAAATGTAAACTCTTAACAGAACCTTTAACTGACTAAACGTTGTCCAAGCTAAGTAACAATTGAAAAACCATTATCTAAAATATACTTTATTTTTCAAAAAACCTGAATAAAAACTTATTAACTAAGATATAAAAGGCTTAAATGTAAATTTATAGAAAAGAAAGAGATATGGAAACAAATCTCATATATTCATAACTTTTAGAAAAAATTTTGTCCTTAGCATATACATTAATATTCCTAAATCACCTTGTCAAATATATGTAATATGTATTAAGTTCCCTTATTTAAATTTGATTGTTTTTCTTGTAAAAACTTGTAATTTCCATGAGGAACAAATTGTAAATCCCCAAATGTCACAAATAATCAATGTCATTTGACCCAAATCTGAAATTTCAATCATGTAACTATTTTATAACAAAATAAATAAATAAGAACTATTTTAACTTCTCTAGTAAAGGAAATGAAAAAAGTGAAAAAGAGGTGGCAGTGCGAGATACACGGGCCCACACGCTACAACTAAATCCCAAAATCCTCCCAAGTCTCAGTATAAAAGTCCATATTGTCGTGGAGAAAATAATCACTGACATTGAAAGAGACATATATCGTAACGATCCAACCAATTTGAATCTTCACCTTTTCTCTGAAAAAAAGAAAATGCCTCATGGAACTCTTGAAGTTGTTCTTGTTAGCGCCAAAGGTCTCGAGGACACAGATTTTCTGAGTAAGTTTTCGTTTATTATCACTTAAAATCTGATATTTTATTGAAATACTTAGAATCCATTTTAGCTTTGAAGGTATATTTGCACGTGATTATGAAAACCGATTGCATATTAATCATTGACTAAATTGTGTGGCTTATGAACAGATAGCATGGATCCTTATGTGCTCTTCACTTGCCGTACTCAAGAAAGGAAGAGCGGTATCTCATCAGGTATGTTTTTATTTTTTAATCAAGATCAAGAGTCTTTTGATTCTATTAATCTCTATAGGTTTTTTTTTTTTTTTTTTTGGCTTTTTGCCTTTGTTGTTTCAAGTTGTTAAAGAAATAAAAATGATGAAATCTTGCAGGACAAGGAACAAGTCCAGAATGGAATGAGACATTTCTCTTCACTGTCTCTGAAGGAACTACAGAGCTAATTGCAAAAATCTTTGACAAAGATGCTGGTATTGTGGATGATTCGGTTGGTGAAGCAACGTAAGCTCCTCAATTCACATCTTCATTGTTCCTAATAAATAGATTTTTAAGCTAGTTTGAAGGAGATGTGTTTTTTTAAACAATGTAGTATTCCATTGGAGCCGGTTTTTATGGAAGGAGAGATCCCACCAATGGCATACAATGTGGTGAAAAATGAAGAGTACAAAGGCGAGATCTGGCTCGCGCTCTCTTTTAAACCCTCGGTATAGCAATGAAATTGCGTCTTGCACTGATCTTGATTCCGGTTTTTGTCAAATAGAGTGTGAAAAACAATTTACTTTTTTTGGTGATTTTGTTAGGAAAACGGAAGGGGAGGCTTTGAAGATGAGAGTTATGGAGGATGGAAAAACTCTGAAGCATCATACTAAGAGAAGCAAAAATTTGTGTTTTAATGTTTGATTGAGTCTTGGGAATAAAAATGTTGAGTCGATTTGATAATTTATATGATATCTATAAGAAATTAGGTTGTTTTTCTTCTTTGATTCAAATGTGAACTTTTAAGAGAACTTTTAACTGCCTAAACTTTCTCCAAGCTAAGTAACAATTAGAAAACCAATAACTAAGATATACTTAATTTTTCAAAAAAAAAAAAACTTAATAAATATTATTAACTAAGATATAAAAGGCTTAAATGTAAATTTATAGAAAAGAAAGAGAATCAAGAGATATGGAAACAAATCTCCTCTATTCATAACTTTAGAAAAAAAAATTTGTCCTTAGTACATTAGTATTCCTACATCACCTTGTTAAATATATGTAATCTTTATTAAGTTTCCTTCTTATCCATTTATTCTTAATTAAGGAAAATAGACATAAAACAATTATAAAATAACTAAAAACTTTGTAAAAAGTAAAATTTGTAACATTAATTTGTGATTACCATGAGGAAAAAAAAATCCCCGAAGTCACAACTCAATAGTTACAGTAATTTGTAACATTAACTGTATGACTAAAATAATCAAATGTCATTTGACCCAAATCTGAAATTTCAATCATGTAACTATTTTTAACAAAATAAATAAATAAGAAATCAGACATATTTTAATAAAGAAAATGAAAAAGTGAAAAAAAAAACGAGCTGGCAGTGACACGGGCACACGCGCTACAGCTGAATCCCAAATCCTCCCAAGTCCCAATATAAAAGTCCATATTGTCGTGGAGAACTCGATCTCTGATATTGAAAAAGACAGATATCTCAAAGATCCAACCATTCAGACAAAAGCCTCGTATCTTCATTGGGATCTGAATCTTCACTTTTTCTCTGAGATTTTCTTTTTTTACGATCAAAGGAGAGAAAGAAAAAAATGCCTCATGGAACTCTTGAAGTTGTTCTTGTCAGCGCCAAAGGTCTCGAGGACACAGATTTCCTGAGTAAGTTTTCGTTTATTACCACTTTGAATCTGATTCTTTTTTCTGAAATCCTTAGAACCCATTTTAGTTTTGAAGGTATATTTGCACGTGATTATATGTTTTGACTTTTTGGATCAAAGATTCGAAATTAAATTGTGAAAATGGTGGTCCCAATCTGATGTTCTTAATTGTGATTTTTTCCCGGATTTGATCTGTGTATGTTGACTAGAAAAAACTAAACTTTCTGATCGTAATTATGTGACTATTCCATGTTCTGAATCGGATGTTGAATCACTGATAGAGATCTATTTTTTTTTTTTTTTTTTTTTTTTTTTTTTTGGGAAACACGTTTGATGAATTTTTGATCATAGATTAACATTCTTACCTGAGTTTTATGTAAAAGCTGATCTTCTGCTAATCCGAAACAATATTCTAATGATATGGTCCAATTGATGGTTATGGACATGTCAACTGATCTGGATCTAATTATAAGATTTAACATCGAAGATAGATGCTTGATTATTGTATTATAGCTTTTTGGATGTATGTAATAAGATTGGATTGCATAATCATTGACTTTGTGTGGCTTATGAACAGATAGCATGGATCCGTATGTGAACTTCACTTGCCGTACGCAAGAACAGAAGAGCAGTATCTCATCAGGTAAGTTTTTTAATCAAGATCTGAGGATAGTTTTTTTTTGCAGTTGTTAAAGAAATAAAAATGATGAAATCTTGCAGGACAGGGCACAAGTCCAGAATGGAACGAGACATTTATCTTCACTGTCTCTGAAGGAACCACAGAGTTGATTGCAAAAATCTTTGACAAAGATGTTGGTACAGAGGATGATTCCGTTGGTGAAGCAACGTAAGATCCTCAATTCACATCTTCATTGCTCCTAATTAATAGATTTTAAAGCTAATTTGAAGGAGATATGTTTTTGAAACAATGTAGTATTGCATTGGAGCCAGTTTTCTTGGAAGGAGAGATCCCACCAACTGCATACAATGTGGTGAAAAATGAAGAGTTTAAAGGAGAGATCTGGATCGCGCTCTCTTTCAAACCCTCGGTATTAACAATGAAATAGTGTCTTGCATTGTTCTTGATTCCGGTTTTTGTTGAATAGAATGTGAAGAACAATTTTCTTTTTTGGTGATTTTTGTTAGGAAAACCGCAGCAGAGGCTTTGAAGATGAGAGTTATGGAGGATGGAAAAACTCTGAAGCATCATACTAAGAGAAGAGACCATCGTGCTCTAATGTTTGATTGAGTCTTGGAAATAAAAAATGTTGAGTTTCCATTTGATAGTGTATTTTGTTCAGACTTTTCTTCTTATTATTCTTGTGTTCAGATTGGATTTTCTGATTGAAAACTCTTTTGTTTTGTTATGATTCAAAACTTGTTTCAGTTTTGTTTTGATATGGAGATTTTTCATTTCTTGAGTCTACAAAAATTGTTTCGGTATTGTGTTAATTTCTGTGTTTTATCAAAAAGGAAAACAAGATTTTTTTTACAAGAACAAAATAAAAAAAGTAATATGTAAACGATATCTTAAAGAGAAAGGTTTAGTACAAAAATGTAAAAAACTGAAAAAAGGATACAAGAACAATAGTAATAACCAAATCTACATGGATTTATTTGATTTGAGTATAGTTTTCCAAATAACCAGCATACATCTAAGATTGTTTGGCAAGTAAATTTGGTTTAATGGTTTATATAACACCGTCATTAAATTCCGTAAAGACGGTTTAAACTTTAAACCTTTTCTTATTCCGCAAGTACTGTATATATAATGTTATAAACCCTTAACATCCTTCGAAATTGGACTATTTTTTTTTTTTTCTAGTACAAGTTTTTTCTTTTCTCGTAGGATAAGCAGCTATGCCGGAGTCGACAAGAAACAGCCGCAAGGAAAACAACAGGATCCCACCGGAGGTGACTCGAGCGCTCTACGTTCGTAACATTCCGTTCAACATAACGACGGAGGAGATGTACGATATATTCGGTAGGTACGGCGGGATCCGCCAGGTTCGGATGGGTTGCAACAAGACCACGAAAGGCACGGCCTACGTCGTCTACGACGATATCCGCGACGCGAAGGAAGCCGTCGACCATCTCTCCGGCTTCAACGTTGGGAATCGGTACCTCATCGTGACGTACCACAACCCCGCGCAGATGACCAAGAAGATCGACTTGAACAAGAAGGAAGAAGAGCTTGCCAAGCTTCAGGAGAAGTATGGAGTCTCTACCAAAGATAAGTAAACCGTCCTGCTAGGGTTTTGACTGGTGGACTAATTGGTATGTGTTTTTCTCTTTTGTCGTTGATATCGACCAAACAATTAAACCTCTTTTAACTCCGAATAGCTAATTCTGTTTACGTTTTGATGCAGGTGGTGATGATCTTGGATAATGATGCAGGGCGTCATTAAAGTGAATTAGGGCTTTGTTTTTTTTGTTAGACGAACACCTTGGGTTTTCGTGTTCGTCAAGTTATTTGTGATTTTTCCTTTTTTTTTTTAAATTTTATAGTAACTTTTATTTAACATCCATTTGGTTTCTATCCTTTTTTTGTTAGGGATCAAGGAAAGGACGTGCACTGGGAGGAGTTGTAGATGTATTAGGGCTTCACAAGAGAAGGGATCAAGTAACTTCGACAGCAAGGTAAAGGTAAAATAACTTTTATTTAACATCCATTTGGTTTCTCCTTTTTGGCTAGGGATCAAGGAAAGGACGTGCACTGGGAGGAGTCGGACATCTTGGTTAGAGAAACAAGAGCGAAACCAAAATCAAATCAGACGGTCCAGGCCAAATCCCCTGTATGTTTGTTTGTCTATTGTTTGTGTTTAGACTTTAATTTAGATTACAGAAACACCAATCAAAGTGTTGTAAGTTGTAACTAGGTTGATTGGTTGTAACTTGTAGCTTGTAACACTGTAAATAGATGTACACACATACATACATACTAATAAAACCTGGTTGAGTTACACTTGCACACTTCAGTTTTCTGAAACTGATAATGCAGATACAACAGAACTGTTAAAGTCGTTTATGAACATAAGTTACAGTTACTATGCACAGACATACTAATGCTTCTTACAAAAAGGTTACTAAACAAAAGAGCTTGTGAAGCCTCCTCCTTGTCTCTCTAGTTTCCTGCAACTGTCCGTTTCCTGAAACTGCAACCATCTAAGCTTGAACTTGCAAATTGTACACATGGAGGAGGATCAGGAAACTTCATTTTCTTGGATTCAGGTTCTTCTTCGTTCAGTGATGAGATCTTGATCTTGGAGAAGCAAGGGAGTCCGAAATCGGGTAAAGGCCTTCTATTACTATCATCAACAGCACTCCCTGATGCAGCTGTAACGTGTTGCTCAAGGTACCTGCGGATCACAGAGTCATCCTCTTCTTGAAATGATCTTGTGATAGGCTCGAATGCGAAGTACGGGCACGGTTTAGGCCAATCAATAGTTTCTTTCTCCATGGATACACTCGAAGAACTTCCCTTTTCTTCGTTCTGAGGTTTTTTCTGTTCAGTGTCTTTCTTCTTGATGTTCTTAGATGAACATGGTTTCGCCTTCTTCTCCCCCCGCTTTATAGAGCCACCACTGATGTTCTTTTCTGGCGTAGTAATGGTGTTGATGAGATCATCTGCAGCATTGGAATTGCCAAAGACAAGTAAAGAATGTGGAGGAGCTTCTCTGTCTGGAAAGAAGACCGATCTTCTCGACTCGTTAGCTGTTTCTTCCTGAGCAGCTTGAGCCTCAAGAGGCTCTTCACTCTTATCTCCTGATTCCTGAGTCGTTTCAACAACTTTTGATGGCTCTTCACTCTTATCTCCAGATTCTTGAGACTCTTCAACAACCTTTGATGATGGTGCATTCATGTGCATCAAGTCATTGCCTTGCTCGTCTCTGATGTCAACGTTTCTTGTTTCTATTCCTTCTGTCCAACTTTTATTCAAATCCTTCTCCACCAAACAATCACTTGGGTCCAGATTGATTTCGATACTAAATGTTCCAGTTAAACCCGGAAAAATCTCCCTCTCCTTATCGCCATATTCAACCACAGCATCATGCAAGTTTTGCTCTTCAAGATGAGCTTCTTCTTTAGACTCTGGAAGTTTCTTATCACCGTCACTATTCATTTCCTCATCTACATATAGACAAAAGCTATATATACTCAGAAGCAATAGATTCACTAAAACCACTCTTTGTTTCCTTTTTCTCCATTTACCTTCAAACACACATTGTGTCTTTGCTCTGGAGTCCAATTTCTTCATTCTCTCCGGCTGTGACCGTATCTACAATAAACAAAAAAAAAAACAAAAAACTCATATCCAACAATACATGATAAAGAAGAAACATAAGAGAACAGAGGAACAAATTCACTTACAGGAGTCTCTACATTCGCTTGGGAACATTTGTACTCGAAATACTCAGTCTCTGAGAGATCTTCTTCCGACTCATCAATTATATATGCCTTGTAACAAAAGCATAACATGAAAAAAAGTTTATATCAGCTTCAAGATTCTAAACAACAACAGCTTCAATTGGAAAAAACCGTCCAATATCTTACAATCTGATTACATCCGGTTTCCTCGTTATCCTCAGACGAAGATTCAGATTCCATATCGTTCTGATTCTCAGATGCTTCTAGCTTTGAATTGGTTTGTGGAACATTTGACACGTTCTCAGATATCTACAAAAAGAAAACATCTTTCAACTTCCTAATAACAAATGTCTAAAACTAACTAAACAGAAGATTACTCTGCTATTACCGTATTAGATTGATTTCCACTATAAGAACCAGTTTTCCAATAATCTTGAAGCCAAGAAGGCGTTTCTATTGCAGCCTCTCTGTCTTGAGAGGCTTTTAACTGAAGAAAACAAGAGAAAGAAACATTGTATAAGCACAGATGACAAACCAAAGATGTTATAAAAAAAACAAGAACTTTGGAATTTACTTACTTTCCTTCTGTGGACTCCAAATTCTCTTTCCTCTCGAATCTTCTGCATTTTAATGTACTCAAGAACTTGATCCTTGGTGGAGAACTTTTTGCCCGTTCCCAAATGTGTGTAAGTCTACCAAAAATGATAACTTTTGTCATTCCATCGACATGCATACAAAAACTAAGCCAAAAATCTACAACTATGGTTTCGAAATTTCTCAATTTGATGACGAAATTCTCAAAAAGTTTCTCAATTTGAGGCCGGTTTTCTCAAATTGAACATGGGTTTTCATAATTTCTCTCAAAATTGAAGTTGGTTCTCACAAATTTGATGATGAAGAGTCGATTTTTACGGGAAAGAGTGAAGTAGTAGTACCCTTGTTTGGCGACCGCGTTTTAGGACTGTAGAATGAACAATCCAGCCGACGGGAAGCCAATCCGGAGTTTGATCCGCCGTTACTGTTGGCGGAAGCTGACGCAACATTTCCAGCGAGACGATTCGGCCTGAAACAGAGCTTTTTTATTTTTCCGGTGATCGGCTTTTGTCACTGTGTCTCTGCTGAGAGCGACAGAAGAAACTCTCAGTGATAAATATCGTTTGACGTGGTGTTATTTAGATGACACGTGACAGTAGTATCTGAACAATTTGCATGTTAGTCCCTATAGAAATATCCATTGTCGATTGTAACTCCAATATTTTGGTTGGCATAAAATTTATTTTTTATATTGAAATGTTTAAGAATACAAAATTGAAAAATCAAATCTAACTAGTAAATTTTGGCCAGCTAATTAGCAAATCCTCATTTGATTTCATATATATATATATATATATATATATATATATATATATATATATATATATATATATATATGCAGGTTTTAGACATCGATCAAGCGAGAGTTTCGAGTTGTGTAAACCTCAAATGAAGAAGGAGACTGAGCTAAGTTTATTGCTAGGTACACTTAGGCTCTAATCAAATTTTAGGTGTACTATAGACTTCATTAAGGTTAATACAGGCGTCTCTATTTTAGGTTAAGTGATTTTATGCACGTGCTAGTTTAAGCAGCCTTTGAGCTAGTGTTTGTTGAGAGCTCGGATCTTATCATATTTCGGGGGCTACCTTCTTCTTGTTATAACAGAAATTGGATGAGACAAGTGAAAAAGAGAGATGAGAGATAGAGGGACGAGAACGTTTGTAATCGGAGATGGCTCTGAAGAATAGGAAACAAACTCTGGGTGAACAATTGCGTGTATTGTTACTTTCTTGCTTTTACTTTTTTTTTCTCTATTGCTTTTGATTTGGGAGAGAACAACAAGAGTTGTTCTTCAGGATTTAGGATCTAGATCTTAAAATATTTAACAATACTTTGGTGAAATTACGTACTGATGTACTATATTTTATTTTTATTTCAAATAAATAATGATGTTCTGCATTTTTATTGCAAAATTACATGGTTTTTATAAAAATAATTGTGTATTATACAAAAATGTCGTTTGATATAAATGGAAAGAATATTTTCTAATTAGTTGGCTTTTTATAAAAATAATTGTGTATTATACAAAAATGTCGTTTGATATAAATGGAAAGAATATTTTCTAATTAGTTGGCCAAAGTTTACTAATGAGATTTGATTTTTCAATACTGTGTTTTTGAATATGGTGAATACCACAATGCTAGAAGCTTTATTCAAGGTCAACAAAATCAAAGACACACATGCGACCTGTTCTTTCCATCGAAGGGAATTCAAGTTGATATGAGGATGTATAACATGATGGTCTATGGTTTATGCAAAAAAAACTTGTGTCAAAGGATGGAATGGTTGTTTCCAAGATCATACAAGATAACTTCTCCCCAATCAGTTAGTTCCGCATATAAACTGATTTTGATATTTCCAGCATATTAGTTGTTAAAAACTTTTGTCTTCCTATTTTCATAAACTTTCTCAAATAGAGATATTTTCTCAAATTTTATGATGGAATAGTGATTCTGCTGACTTTTCTGTTCTAATTCTTCCAAATTTGGGTTTTTCTTATTACCACTAAAGAAAGAAGAAACATATTTTCTTTATATCTTGATTTCAAATGCCTATTAGGATAACATTATGTGAATTAGTGTCATGTTGAAGAATGAGATGTCACCTTTTTCTTCTGGTGTCAAACTAGATTCATTAAAACATAAACGTGTCCAGCCGAGTACAAAGGTTGTACAAGTATATTTGGAAAAATGGTCAAACGCATGGCCATAATTATCATAAAACTACACATTTTGCTGACTTTGACTCGTAAATTTCATAGTTATCACTTTCTCGTCATAAAAGAGAAATTGTTTTATATACATGGTAGTCGGCTTCTATAATTTTATTTAGCGTTTGTTGAATAGATGACCTGTATCTTCTTCCTCTTATAATGTGTTCATATATAAATGTTGACCGATCAATTTTGTTTGGAAAGAAATTTAAAATTCCTTGAAGATTCAAAGTTTCACTTAGACAAATTATTCTCCAGACTCATAGCAACTAACACTTAGATCAAGCAAAAAAAACAAACATAAAGACAGAAACATGCAAATGGTTTAAATTGGACAAAAAGACATGATAATAAATTAGTAACTCTGTCAAACTAGCATGTCAGATACATATTATAATGATTCATAACCGAGATATTATATATAAATTAATACGACAATGAGTCAATGATATTATAATGGTTTTCGATACGAAAAGTATAAGAAATATTTCTGTGTGTATTAATCATTTCATTATGGTGTATTGGTGTGTGTCTACAAATACAAGAAATTTAAAAGAAACATAAGAGATGTGTATGTGTTCAATGAAAACGTAATATAAATTAAATGATACGTGACACATCATTTGTTGTGAAGTGGGTTTGGACCCTCGGGGACTAATCTCAGTGAAACTCCATAGATCTGATTGTACTTCTCGCGGCTGCTCACTTCCGGTAAGCTTCTTCCGCCGTCAAATCTTGATCGCCATAATTGTTCATGGAACGCCTCCGCCGTTGTTGTACTAGGAAGCCTGCGGCCACCAGCTGATAAACGAAGCCCGGCGAATAAAAAGATCACGATGATTAGAAACGATAATCTCTGGCTCCAAAGTTTCATGTTTTCTTTTTTCTGTGAAAGATTTTTGTTTTTGTGGTTTCTTGACTAATCTTGTTTGATTTATACTAATTACAAGATCTTGGCATGGGGTTGTGGAAGAGAAGGAAACAAACAAAATACCTATCAAGTCATTAGAAATTGATACTTTCATCATGTCCAAAGACGAACCTAACCTTTCTTTGACCTATAAGACAAGTTTATCAGTTTAGCATATACGTATTAATGTATTATACAATCGTTGTGTCAATAATTGAAGCAACGGCGAAAGTAATTAGACAACGGATGGTTTTGTATACAACTACAATATAAAATATATATTTACACATATATAAGATTATAGATTACAGTTGTGGGTGAAAGAGACCTATAGTTTTGTGGTTTGTAAATTGTAATAACGTGATCGTAATGATGTTCTCTTTTTCTTTTTCATTCTTTATAGTTTGGATTTTACCGTCATCGTGGAGCTTACGTTATGTCATTTGATCATTGATAAACAGAAGTATTGACATTTTTTACAAACAAGAAGTGTATCTAATTGGTCTATCAGGTCCGTCGTCAATACCGTTGACTTATGAATATACAGTTCTTTTATCTTTTATTTTTTGTTTTGGCTCCTCAAAATAATTGATCACATAACTTTTTCTTTTGCTAAAAATAATTGATTATGTAACTTTGCCATCAAGTTGTTTACATATAGACAATTGACTACAAATACAAGATGACTATAAGAAACATAAGAGATATGTTGACACAAAAATAGCTAGATAACAGTTTTGAATGAAAACCTAAAATTAATTAAATAATATGTAACATATCATTCGTTGTGAAGTGGGTTTGGACCCCCGGGAACTTCTCTTGCTGAACCTCCATAGATCTGATCATACTTCTCGCTGGTGCTCACTTCCGATAACATTCTTCCGTCGTCAAATCTTAATCGCCAAAAATGCTCTTGTAACTCTGTTGTACTAGGAAGCTCGCGGGCACCGGATGAGAAATGAAATCCCACTAATAAAAAGATCACAACAAGTAGAAATGAGAATCTTTGGCTCCAAAGTTTCATGTTTTCTTTTGTGATCTGAGGAATTTTTTGTGGTTTCTTGACTTTTCTTGTTTGATTTACATACTAGATTTTGGCATGGACTTGTTATTAAATATTGACATGGACTTCTTATTAAATATTGGCAGTTCCAATCGTGGTCAGTTTTGAACTTTTGGCATGCAATATATATAATGCCTTGAAAATTATTATCTTTATATGTAACTATACATTTCAGACTGACTTTTCTTTCTTAACATCAAAACCCAAAGAACAAACTGAGTTTTCTTATTAAAATTGTTAAGAGCTTTTCGATCAGATCAGGACAGTGAGGACACGTCATTACGTCAAGATATCTCATGATGGTATTGTAGTAGTGATAACGAGATTTGATTAACAGGAACAAACTTTCTCTCTACGTAATTTGACTGCAAGAAGGTTAATATTTAACATATGTATTTTGATCTCCGGGTTACAAAAATTCACTGTCGTCACGACGTCACTTTATGCATCAATCTGCATTTTTGAAAAATCAGGGCTGTTTATGAAAAAAACAAAAATAAGGTTCAGAGTTTTATGTTGCTCCTTCTTTTGGGGCTTTGTGTCAATTAATAAACCTAGTCAGAATTAAGTCGACCAAAAAAAAAAGTACTATCTAGGGTTTGTACTAATTCACTTCGTGTTCCGTCTTTAATGGGTGGTAAAGATTCAATCAGCAATCTGCCGGATGAGGTTCTAGGCAAAATCCTGTCTCTGCTTCCGACAAAGCTTGTCGTCTCCACATGTGTTCTGTCCAAGAGGTGGAGGAATGTGTTCCCTCTTGTAGACACGTTCGATTATCGACCAACAACAATTCCTGGAGGCCCTAGCTTCGTTTCTTTCATGTACAATCATTTTTTACTCAATCCTCCTCCTCCCATCAAGAAATTCTCTCTGACTTGTCAATACGGAAATTCCGACTTTTGGATCCGAACTGTGTTGGAACGCGGCTGCTTGGAGCTACACGTGCAATGCAATCTCCCTCTTTCTATTGATATCAGTTTCTTCGACACCAATACATTGGTTAAGCTCACACTATCCGACGGAGTTCACCTGATCGATGTTAGACAGAATTATGATGTTCGTGTTGATCTCGATCGGGCTCCGTATTTCCCATCGCTCAGATCGCTTTCTCTTGGTGCAGTTTCGGTAGGTGCCGATCTGTTCAAGCTGCTGATTTGGCACTGCCCTGTCCTGGAAGAGTTATTCATACGTGATGATGATGTTGATGACCTGTCCACTTGGCAAGGCTTCGTTTCAAGTGAATCCATCAAGCGGCTTGTCGTTTCTGTTGTCAACCTTCCCAATGACGCCGTTTGGCTTTTTACACCCGCCCTTGTCTTCCTTGACTATTCTTCTTGTGTCCCTTGTTACTTCGGTGAAGTGGTTTTGGATTCGCTTGTTGAAGCTAGACTGGATGTTCGGTTTTGGGAGTCACCTACTGATGATGATGATGGTTATGGTGACTTTGATGGTGATGTTACGAACCTTGTTGCGGGGATAAGCAACATTAAGAGCCTTCATTTGTCTCCTAACTCTCTTGAGGTCAGTTTCTTGCTACTTCTTCTTCCTCTTGTATTAATTGTTTTGGTTAACCATGAGAGAATCAATAAATAAATTGGTCTTAAACCAGGTGTTTCACTGGTGTTGTAAAATCATGCCGGTATTCAACAACCTCCACCGTTTTTCTATAGAGAGTGACAAGGAAAAAGGGTGGCAAATAGCCAAATAGTGCCGCTTCTGCTTAACAAGTCTCCAAATTTACAAACCTTGTGCATCAAGGTATTAGTATATGTAGATTGAGGTCCCTTTAGTTGTTTTGTTGCCATTGTTATTTATTGGTTAATGCTTTCAGGGTCTTGTGCACAAGGTTACAAATGGATGTGGGGACGTGTGCCCTTGCATCCCTAATAATAGGAAAAAGAGGAAGATGATGATGAAGGTAGAGGTAGAGGAAGAGGAAGAGGAAGAGGATGTGGATGATACGTCTTGTTGTTTATGGAGCTGCCAAGTGAAGGTGCTTGAGATTTCAAGGTATAGAGGAATGTGGAGAGAGCTTGAACAAATGAGACACTTCTTGGGAAATTTGAAATATCTTGAGACTGTCAATATTTATCTTCATCAAGAAGTGAAGAGTTCTAGCTACTTGCGAGTCACCAGCGATCTAAAGAAGCTTCGCAGAATTTCGCCAACGTGTCAGATTCACTTCTTGTGATGTTCTCCTTCCTTATATCTCAATTAAAACATGTTCTTGCCAAGTATGAAAATTAGACAGGAGTATGAGAAGAACATGTTGTCCTTGTTTAAGAAGTAACTTTTGCTAAGATTATTAGTGCGAACTGAGAATGATTAATTACAAATATTTATTGAAATTTTTCTTTGTTAAAAAGGTATTAATAAAAAAATCCACAATGTTTAAGAAATGAATACACAAGATAACTATAATTGTGTATCACGCTATCACAATAACACAGAATCAATGTTAAATCAACAAAACCCGGTTCGGTTTACTTTCGGATTGGAATACCAGGAATGCCTTTGAGACCCATCTTCACCGCGGTTTTGCGGAACAAAGCAGGAGGCTTCTCCAAACCGATTGAATAGCAAAACCGGTTAGCTAACTCGGCCAAAGTGGTTTTATCTCTACCGGTTTCTCGAACCGAGTTGTAGTAACCGAGCCAAGCATGGTACGCTGCTTCTTTGATACTTGTATCAATCTTAGCCATTGACTGATCAACCTGAGTCACATAACACAATCACAATGTCACTTGTCAGTTAAAAAAAGAGAGAAACTTCTGTTCATTAACAGTGAAAAACTCAAAACAAACCTCAAGTTTGGTTCTTGAATCAAGATCCGGAACCGGAACCGGTTCGAGAGGCAAATCTTTAAGCTCATCAAGAAAATATCTCTCCCATGGCGCAATCAAAAGCAATCCTTTGCCATCTTTGCCTTCTCTTCCTGTTCTACCAAGCCGATGTATATACTGTTCTCTATCACTCGGTATACCAACCTAACACAGTGTTCCAAATCCATTACTACTAAATAAGGGATAAGAGACTGTTCTTGATATGAAAGTTTGTTACTTTACTTACCTGAATAACCAAAGTAACATCTGGATAGTTCATTCCACGAGCAGAGACATCAGACGTGACAAGAATCAGTCTATTCGATTCTTTGAACTCGTCTGAGACACGTGTTCTATGGAGCTGAGGCTTTCTTGCGTGAATCTCCCTAACGTTTAGTTTCATTTCTCGGAGCAGAGTGTACATCAGTGATGTTACCATTCCGGTTGAACAGAAGACTATTACCTTATAATCTGCTGTGTTGCTGATGTGCTCATTCAATAGATGAGGTACTACGTGGAAATGAGATTCATGTGGAGCAACCATAACAGACTGTTCCACCTGAGAATCCAAAGCAAGAAACTCAATAAAGAATCAAGCTTTCAAGACAACAAGAAGAGTTTTAAGTCTTACCTTATCATGAGTCTCTACACAACCAAGACCTATTGTGTCAATATAAGAGTGATCTCTTTTCAAAACAAGCTGAGATACTCGACGGACCTGCATTAAACCGACTTTAAACCGTGTGTTTCTTCACATTGGACTCCATGGTAAGTAAACAACATTGAAGTTGATTGTACCTCTTTTGGAATGGTTGCAGAAAAGAGAAGAGATTGTCTTTGACGAGGCAAACAATCAATGATCTTTTCGACATCTCTCCTGAAACCTAAGTCTAGCAAGAGATCAGCTTCGTCGACAATGAACAACTTAAGCGCCATCAAACGAGACGTTATGTTAGACTTATTCTCTATATGATCCAAAAGCCTCCCCGGAGTTGCAATGAGTATCTGCACACAACAAAGTGTGGGAACAAAAGAAGATTAGAGATTTAACACAAACACTTCTTGCAAGAATCATGAGGGATCTGGTCAAGACCTGGCACGGATCGGATTCTAGTCGTTGCTGATCAAGTTTGAAGCGAGTACCTCCAATCAGAGTCTGAACACCGATCCCTTCATGGTATTTAAGCAAAGCTTTGCCTTCTGCAGCAATCTGGCTTGCAAGTTCTCTTGTAGGACAGAGGATAAGAGCGAATATCGGAGAAACTCTGTGAACACTACTATCACTGCTTCTCATAGCTTTCACAACTGTTTCAATAGCAGGAAGCTGAATTTTTCAATTTTAACAGCGTTGTCTAAAGAATCAAACAAATGCTAATCACAATCATATTGAGGCAAAGGATTGTGAAGTACCAAAAACGCCATGCTCTTCCCTGTCCCGGTTTTGGCTTTGACTAACGCATCTTTACCTGCTTTTTCATCAAGAACAATCCTTTTGACAAAATGCTAAAACCGAATCAGATAATGAAGGAACAAACAAAGAAGAAGAAATAGATTACCGTCAAGGCACTCAGAGAGAGTAGCATCTTGTACTCTAGTCATCTTAACAATGCCAGAAGCAGAAAGTGCCTTTAGAGTCAATGGAGATAAACAAGACTCATCAAATCTGCAACACACAAAATAAAGCTCATCAAGAACCATAAATTGACAAGTCAAAAAGCTCAAAGGAGATAAACAAGACTTATTAAATCTGCAACACACAAAAAAGCTCATCAAGATCAAAACTTTACATATCAAAAAGCCTTAAGCACAGTCAAAGGAGATAAACAAGACTCATTAAAATCTGCAACACACACAAAATAGCTCATCAAGATCAAAACTTTACAGATCAAAAAGCCTTCAAACAGAGTCAAAGGAGATAAACAAGACACATCAAAATCTGCAACACACAAAAAGCTCATCAAGATCAAAACTTTGACAGATCAACAAGCCTTAAACAGTGTGTAAAGACATACCTTTTTCCGCTGTAAATCGAATCAAGAGGCTCTCTGTTCTCTTCCATTACATTTTCCAGAGACTTTCTCTTACTGAGATCTTCTCTAACTACATTGATATCCAACGGAGGATAAAGCTCTTCATCAGTGACAATACGGTTCGCTCGTTTCGTCAGTTTGACATCATGGTTTCCTAACGAAGCACTGCTTCCTGTTCTCCTCAAATCAATCCAACCTTTCATCTTCCCATTACCATCGTTTTCGTCCTCTGAATCTTCTTCAGTCGAGCTATCATTCTTCCTAAACTTCCTCTGACTCTGACTCTGACCAAACAATCCTCTGTTCCTTATAACTCCATTCACATTCCTCGAGCTCTTCACTTTCTCCTTCTTACCAGCGAACTTAGGAGAGAAAGGACTCAAAGTATCCAACTTTTTAGCATCAAATCCATCATCGTCTCCTTCATCGCAAGAACTCTCATTTCTCTTAAACCTACCTCTACTCATACTCGAAAAGCCTCTGCTCCTACGACTATCGAAACTCCGATTACTATTATAACTACCAGTTGAAACACGATTCCCAGAAACCAATCTCCGAACATCAATCGGCGAATTTGACGAAGAATCAATCGAATTCGAATTTGAATTGTCAACCGGTTTCTTAACCGGCCCGTCGTCTTCGTTCCACAAATCATCTGCTCCAGCTTTCATAAACCGATCAGCTAACGATTTGATATGCTCTCTCGGGCTCATCGGACCGTGGCTCTGGCTCGGTTTCGCCGTCGGTTTCTCGCCGGGATCTGAATTGCCCCACATTTTAGCTCGGATTTCTGACCGGATTCGAGCCTCGTAGAGCTGTTTCTCTTGATCCAAGAGCTTGTTCTCTTTCTCTCTCGCTTTCTTCTCGTGCATACGTTTCCATTGCCACTTGTTGAGTCCTCCTGGGAAGGTTCTCGGACCACCGCCCATGTTCCGTGAGAAGATTCGGCTCCATAAGGTTCCAGTGAAGGTTCCTGATCGTTCCCGGAGAATCGACGAGTACATTTCCGGTGACTCTAAGAAGTAAGATGAAGAAAAAAAAATCAGACTTTTTCAGTAAGGTTTTAGGGTTTAAGGTAGTCTTCACTGATTTATCCGGTTCGATTTTCATGATTAAACCGGTAAAACCGAATTGAACCAGTAAATTCCAAAATTAAAAATCAAATTTTGATCATATTAGCCTCATTTTGAAATAAAAAGACCAGATTTTGATGGCAAATATGATTTCTTTAGTAGTGTTTTAACTTTTAACCTCACTTTCATGATATGTTGTCATTAGACATAATGAAGAATAGAAAAATTAAGCTTTTGTAAAAGTTTCAACTTCTGTTTTCAACTCATTGATTACAGAGTAGAAAAGAATGAAGAGAAGTTGTTGTTTCTTGTGCCTCTCAAGCCACTCTTCTCTTGCAAAATCATCCAACAACATGGAATCAGGATCTTTCTGCAACTTCAGAGACATTTCAGTGAAGATTGTCTTCAGCAAAAAGGCTTCAGTTTCTAAGCTTTGGATCGGTAACTAGAAGCATTCCTTCTTGCGCAGCATCCAACAAAGTAAACCATTGACTGTTGATGGTAGTTTCAACAAAGAAGACAAACAAATTCACTGTCAGTTTCTCACAAAGATCTAAATTTTGTTCAGAATCAAATCTCCATTGTAGTTCTAACAAGAGAAAGCTTTTGATTCTTGCATGTGTTTTACTAAACCAATTTCTTACCAAGACAACAAAGAGAACCACATTGAAGATTGCAACAAGTCTCCACTCTGTTTTCATATACTGAGCTACTCCAGCTCTGCAGTGATTAATAAATCAATACAAACAAAAACAATTAGTTTCATCATATGATACACAGTTGTAGCAAAAATAGACGGAAGTTGGATTAGGTCTCTACTTGCAAGAATCACAATTGTAGCACTTGATGGTCCTCAGATTCTTGTAAAGCTTACAGTCTTTGTTAGCACTTATGGAATGAAAGCTCAAGTCATAGTAAGAAACATTCACCGCAGGATAGCCACACCTTTGCATCAACAACAACAACAAACAACATTCAGCAGTGAATTTGATAGAAACAAGAAGAAGAGAGCATATGTATATGTATACATACTCAGATGGTGGTCGACAACATCCACCTTCTATCGGAGTTAACTCTGCGGATTTCAACTGTTTAATGGTCTGAAATGTCAAGAAAATAAATCAAGAGCATGCCAAAGATTCGATAATATGAGACATTTTAGTTGGTTGAAATGTGCACTAGACCTTGTATTTCTTGGAAAGCTTTCTGCATAGCTCGGATTTAACAAGACAACTCTTTAGTCGTCTCCAGTGATTGGTGTTGTTAAGCTGAAACATCGATGAGTGTTATTAGACGAAAAGAGAAGAAAAACATTATCGTTTGTTGGTCCACAATGAATTACATACAATACCTGTTTTAGAAACCAGGAGCTGTAATCATTCAGCTTATACTCCTTGTACCTGAATTTGAGGCAGAGAAGTTTATACATCGACATAGATGTGTAACTGCGGAGAAATAATCGGTTAGAGCTAACCTTAAACCAGGATTGGTATGGCCGGAGCCATTGTTTGTTACAATGAACCTGTAAAAGTGAGCAATGGCTGAGAATTCTTCAAGAGACATCAATAGCTGCTAGATGATCATTAGGAAAATGAGACTTACGCTAAGACGGTGAAGACAAGAATGGCGATCAAAACGATCAGGAGCACAACAAGATACTTCAAAGGAGAATCTGTCAAGGAAGATCCAAATCCAAAATTTACAACAATAAAGGAACAGGACACAGAACATGGTAAGTAAGTGAAGGATACAATCCAAAGAAGTGCCACACTTCTCTTGCAGGCACCAAGAAACCCAATTATGGATCTGAAAACACATCATCAAATTAGGGAACATTTTCAAGAAGACATCATCAGTTAAGGAACCAGTGTTGTTGTGTTGTGTAAACTCACATGAAGAAGATGAAAGCTCCAAGAGCTATGACTGGAAATGTAAGTGACCTTCTGCATCCATCATTGTGTGTACTCATCCACACCCCAAATATTATCACTGCCACAGCCAATAGCTTCACCACAACAATTTGTAAAAGACACAAAACATTACTAAAAAAGTTGCAGAAACAAAACAACTTTTAAAGGTCGAAGCTTTCAGATTATTTACTACTCAAGAAGTGCAATTTCACTAAGGAATCTTCATTACAGAGAAGTCACAGAACCATAACCTAATTTGTACGGAAACCAAGACTCTAATTCGACAAGCCAAACCAATTGAAAAAGAATCAAATGCGACTCTGAGAAATAGAATTAAGTGAAGACTAAGAAGAAGAAGAAGAGATTCTAAGCTCACCATTGTAAGAAGATTGACCCATCTGATAACGAAAGTACTTGTGCCAATACCCATTTTGTCCAAGCTTCTTGCTTTTTACAAAAACCCTCCAAGAACTATAACAAAAGACCCAAATTTGAAGAGAAAGATGCAAACTTTGCTCCAGGGTTATGAGAAAAATTGCAAGAACACAAATGAGTCAGTCAGAATTTAAACCTCCGGCGAGTCCTTTAATCACAAAAGAAGAATAACGAGGGCATTTTCGTCAATACAATTTGAGAACAGACACGCCACGACATATGAATAAGAACAACAATAAAGAGAGATAGAGAGACAAGTGAGGTCAATGAACAAACGTATACGTTTGACTCCTTCTTTTCATAAAAAGCTCTGTTTCGATTCTTTAAAAATCTCCTGCCATTATTAAATTACACTACTTTTTTCAGAACAACTTGTCTTTGTCTGCATCAACTCCAACGGTAACTTGAATTTGTTCCAACAAAAATACAAACTTTCTCTCTGATTCTCTCTAACTAAGAAATGTCAGCACGATCAAGCATATCAATGAGAGTCATCTTCCTCGGAAACCTAGGAGGAAGCCTCAAGATCATAGCATCTTCAATCTCAATAGGAAGATGAGTAGCAACAATCACAATCCCACCTTTCTTCCTATGCTCTGCGATAACATACTCAAGCAGCCTCACTCCTTCATCATCCAAAGCAACAGACGGCTCGTCCAAAAGCCAAATCGGTCTATCGATCGCAAGCAGCCTCGCAAGTTGCAACCTTTTCCTCTGTCCCATCGACAACATCCTCGATTTCTCCTTCACAAGTCTCCCTAACCCCATCAGCTCCAACGCAGGCTGAGCTTTCCCGATCTTGTTCTCCAATAGCTCGAACCATTGGACGTTGTCGAGGACAGTGAACCTCTCTTTGATTGCGTCTTTCAATGAGATCCAGTTGAGTTGGAGTTTGTACTGCTGGAAGATTCCTGATTGTGTGATGTCGTGGCCGTTCCAGAGGATTTCACCGGCGGAGGGCTTTGTGAATCCGGCTAGCATTCGAAGGAAGGTTGATTTGCCGGAGCCGTTTGTTCCGGTTAAGACGAGCGCGCCGCCGTCGTGGAGAGATACGTTGACGTGTCGCAGGATCTGCTGCGCGTTTCTCATGCAGGAGACGTTTTGGAGGAGAAGACGAGGGATTTGTGGCTTACGCAGAGACATTTTTGGGGATAAAGATTCTGTAGAAACAGAGAGATGCCATTAAGATGGATGAGTCAATCTATACACATAAAAACCATAGCTTTATGGAATTTTATAAACAGGATTGATCAGAGAAACATTGAGTTAACTTTAAAAAACCATAGCTTTAAGGAATTTTGAGAAAGGACACAAACTTGGTTAACTATAAAAACCATAGCTTTAAGGACGAATTGACTCATGGCAACTGCTTGTATCCATGAAAGTTTGAAGCTTTTGAGATAAACGAAACATAACATTTGTGAATTTGGAGATTTCTCTATTGATCCTAGAGCTGTATAAATCATCACATTGACTAAGCTACGAAGATCCAATCATTTGACAAAGAGAAAAAGACCAAATCCGAGACGAAATCGTTAAAAAAATCACATTTTTTTGCGAGAATTAATTATTACACAGAAGCTTGATTTGGAGGAGACTAAATTGATGAGATCAAAAACTGAACTTAATCATCGAACAGAGAGAGAAATGGAGCTATAGGAGAGAGAAAGTTGAGGAAAAACCTGCAAATCGGGCAAGGAGAGTGGATTGACGAAGAAGAAGAAGTTGCGATTCCGAGAAAATTGAAACTAACGAACTGGGAATCGATGGTTGAGCACAATCACGGAATTGAGAAGAACCTGAAGATCTGACCAGGAGAGTGAATGGACTGAAGAAGAAGAAGAAGAAACGATTCCGAGAAAATGGAAATCGAATTCGCAGAAGAAGCAAACTCTCCACGGTTTAGGGTTTATCATTTCTCCCTGTTAAACCGAACAATTCAGCCGGTTGGATCTGGTTAACCCATTATTTTAGAATTGAACCGGAAATTTTTGAATTTTGGATTGCTTTCTTTTATTTCATTCATCTGATTTTCTCTTCAAAGATTCTTGCTTTTGTTTCCATCACAATCACAAATACCCTCCAAAGATACAGCTTTTATGTTTCAGCTTACATTAACATTTGTCATTTTCAAGTCATAAAGGAGATGAATTCTTCTCAACACTGGCTCGCAGAAGAGATATGACTTCCCCTGGCTCCGGAGCTCCAAACACTGAACTCCCGGCGACGATACAGTTAGCACCAGCTTCAGCCGCCGCATCGATCGTCGAAGGGCCTAACCCTCCATCCACCTGATCCCCATGAGTTAGTTTAAGTCTCAGTTTGAAAGGAATGACTCTCTACTGTATGATGTTTAGAGGTCTTTATACTCTTACCTCAATATCAAGTGTTGGGTACTTGTGCCTCAAAGCCCTGACCTTGTCCATCATGTTGGGCATGAACTTCTGGCCACCAAAACCAGGCTCCACGGTCATCACAAGAACCATTTCAACCGGAGTTGTTCCTTCAACCAGAGGATAAACTTCTTCAACAGGTGTTCCAGGCTTTAACGCCACGCCTGGTCTCATCCCAGCAGACTTAATCTTCTTCACAAGTTCTTGCCAGTTCTCTGCAAATCAAAACCAAAACATTCTCAAGGATCACTAAATATGAGACACAAATTGAATGTAATGTTAGATTTAAAAGATATACCTTTGGCTACTTCAACGTGGAATGTGAAACCAGACGCTCCAGCTTTACCCATTTGCTCAACGTAGTCCATAGGGTTCGTCACCATTAGGTGGCAATCAAGATATGCACTGTGATCATCAATCATGAAGAAGGTAAGGATAAAGTTTTCACATTTGAAAATGTTAGTCAGTAGATTAACTCAAGGGAAGGACTAAGGAGTGAGTGTTGTTACTACTTTGTGTGCTTTCTCAAACTCTCGATGACTGGAGCACCAATCGTTAGATTCGGAACAAAGTGCCCATCCTGCAAAATGAAGTAACAGGGTAAATGAGTATGAAACAAGCAAATGGTTTTCTGTAGCATAAGTCCATAACTTACTACAACAGATCATTTCATACTAAGAGTAGATTATGTTCAAACAAAATTTCAAGAGTCTGAAACAGACCTAACAAACTTTATCATGAGACTGATTTTGACTGGAGATTGCTTACAGAGAATAGGTACAACAATAGATATCAAAGAGAAGCTCTTCAAATCCCCAATTGAGTATTATTGAGAGTGAAATAAAAATGCAGACTTTGGAGAAGGAAGGTCATACCATAATGTCCATGTGAAGCCAGTTGGCTCCCAAATCGATCATCCGTTTGGCCTCAGCCGCCAGATTTGCAAAGTCTGAAGACAGCATCGACGGTGCGATTTTCGGTGATACCCCCATTTTCAATTATTCAAGTAAGGTAGAGAATGAGCAAATCTAGAATATTTGGAAAGAAGGCTTAGATTGAGTTCAGAAACAGGATTGATCAAATAACATTGAGCGATAAATCCTTGTAAAAAAACTTGCACAACAACCTATTCATTAGTGTGTATCAATGAAACAAAATGAAGAGAAGAACAAAATCTTGTTGGTTGGTAACTGTTCAAGAACACAAAAACACAAATTTTCTACTTGGAGTACCACAAAAATCATAGCTTTAAGCTATCCAGAGAAGAATCTTCGATATTTCAAGTTTTTGAGTTCATCAAAGCTAATAAAAAAATCCGAGATTCGACAGGTTTTGATCCTAGAAAACTGACCACAATTCATCAGTGTGTGTATCAATGAAACAACTTAAGAGAAGAACAAAAATTTGTTGGTTAGTGACTTTTCAAGAACAAAAAACACAAACTTTCTACTTGAATTTCCCCAAAAAGGATAGATTTAAAGCGATAATTGCTTGTATGCATCTGAAATTCAGAGAAGAATCTTTCATTTCAGCAAAACTGATCAAATGTTCGAGATTCGACAAGTTTTGATCCTAGAGCGGACAACGATGCAAGACTCAATCATAACAAAATCACAATCTTTTAGAGACGAATCCTATGAACCCACTACCCCAGAAGCGCGAATTGGGTGAAGATAAAAACCCAATTTTCTAGTTCATGGAATCACTAAATGAACTTAATCAACGAAGCTGAGAAAGGAACTTGGGCAAAAACCTGAAGATCAGGCTCAGGCGAAGAGAGTTGATTGAAGAAGAAGAAGATGATGCGATTCGTGGAAAACGAATTGGGAATCAATGGTGAACAGAACACGACAACGTAGATTTTGCATCGGAGACGATCTCGGCAGCCTTTACAAATCAATTCTGAAAACCGACCGGTTCAGCCGGTTGATCCGGGAAATCAAATGTAAGAATTAAACCGGATATCATCTTTTGTTTACCGACTTTTAAACCGGTTTTGTTTTTCGGCATGATGTGTAAATTGTAATGTAACGTTTGAAGAAGTGTCTTTTTGATTTGTCAGAACCACCACCATTAAACATGTTCCACGAGCTTATTATAACAAGATGTACTCGAGATTACGAGTATGCATCCTAATTATACGATGTTGACGACAATTGCTTTTATCTTAGCTCTAATCAATCGAATCGTATACAGCTCATACTCTAGGGTAATAATGGACGTTTAGTCGAGGCCCGAAATAAATTCAAGGCCTAATTGTTTATTCTGAAAATATATAGGAAATACTCCCTCCGTTTTTTTTTAATGAATTTTCTAGTAATTATATATTGTTTCACAAAGATAAAATTTTTACCTTTTTGATGCACTTTTTCAGTTTTCAAGATACAATGATTATATTTGTTGGATTTTTATTGGTTTAAAATTATAAAAAATTGTTTTATTGCAAAAATTTATGCACTAATGATTGAAAATCAACTTTTTCTTAATCTGTGTGAAAAAACTAGAAAATTTATCTTAAAAAAACGGAGGGAGTAAAACAAAGAGAAAATATCTTTTCTGGAAAACCTAGCAAGCCGATCATCTTAACTTCTCCATGGGCAAACCCGTCAAAAAGGTAAATTTTTTGTTATCCTTGATGGCTTTCTTCCGATTCACTCTTTTAGCCGAGCTCTGTTTCTCAATTTAATGGTTTCAAAACACAAGTATTTAAGAAGAAAAAGTTAGCGGAATTTCTGAATTAGATCTTTTGTACCCTTTTAGGGGATGAAATTGCTGGAAGGGAAAGGTGGTGGTGATGCAGCGATTCCCCAAAGACGGTAAATTGATTGCTATTTTTTTTTTTTTTTTTAAATTTTTCTGTGGAATCTGTAAAATGTGTTGTTCTTAGCTTTATCGCCGATAATATTATTTGGCAGTAGTAAGACTGGGAGAATACGCATTGAGGGATATGACACTGGTCTTGCTCGTGATGATGCCGTGCGCAAGTTGAGAAAGCTTTTCGCTTCATGTGGAGAGATGACTGATGTGTATGTCGGCGTAATTGGTGATAAGCTCACTCGGGATGCTTATATCTACTTTACCCGAGAGGACGCAGTAGACAAGGCGTTGCAACTTCATGGCAAAGACGTTGGAGGATGGATTTTGCATGTTGAGGCTATGCCGGTTCCCGAGTGTGCAAGCAGGTAAGTTAATTGAGTTGTTTTTTTTTTTTTTTAATTATTATTATAATTGCTGTTCTTGCCATGTCTTGATCATCTCGTGCAATCCAATTGTTGCAGTTCTCCTTGCTTTTTGATTAAAGGATATGAGACTTCGCTTAGTAACAAGGCTATCGAGAAAGCGGCAACGAAACATTTCTCTTCATGTGGAACGGTCAGGAGAATCTCGATTCTCAGGAGGTTTTGTGGCTTCTTCTTCCCACCATTTCTTTTTCAAGTTATTCAATGGCCTAAACTAAAGACTCTTGCCTTTGTTGTTTGTTGATTTTTTTTTTTTTTTTTTTTTTTAACAGCACCGGTGCAGCTTTGGTTTTTCTCGAGGGAGAGCAAGCAGCAGAGAAGGTGCTGGAACTCGGTGCCTTCCACATAAGAGGACGCGAAGTGGTTGCTAAGCTTGTTTCTACACCGATAAATCCCACTTTCCACAATCATGGTATTAGGGGCCGCAGGTGGTTTCCAACCCCAGGTACACAAATTTGCTTCTTGATTCTTGCTTCTTGCTTCTTGGTAGCAAAGTAAAATCCCTTTCTATGGTTTATTTTAGGAAAGGAGGCTAAGATGACCGCTGAGTAGAAAGCTCTCTCTTCGGAAAAGACCCAGGAGCTCCTTTGTGATATAATGCAACCTTTCTTTTTATTTCAATCATCTGACTTCTTTATTATTACTCAAGTATTGCATGTTTATGTCTGGATGTTTTTAGTGAAACCTTAAGTATGATGTTTTGTGATTGTATCTCGATAATTGATTATGTCAAAGACGGAAAGCATTTTCATTAAAAAATCTTATAATGCATGCTCATATTCCCATATCGTTGACGGACACATGTTTGAGTTTTTATTAAAACACACCAGATCCAGTTGAGTTTTCTTGTTGATAACCTCTCGTAGAGCACATTATGGTCCTGACAAATCAAAAACACAATTCTAATAACGTAACATCCGATCAGGTTTGAAAACTAAAACCGAAATCGTCTCCTCATCTTTGTTTGATCAAGATCAAACAAATCAACGACCGATTGAATGGTTACTTGCTAATTACTTACAATGTATTTGTAATGGGTTCTCTTGAATGTATATAGTTCATCTCGCGCTATTGTATCATCATATGATAAATCAATAGATACTTCTTGAAGAGAAGCACCAATCAAAAAAGATGTGGATGTATTTTTTTTATTACGCCATGATGTGGATGTTTAATGACACCAATACCTACCTACATATTAATTACATAAAATATAGGCGTGAGAATGCACCTAAACACCTAACTAATCATTATCCTCCTTTGTATCACCATCGTCATTTTCCTATTTTATTTGATGAGAATTTATATCCTAGAGTCCCTGATCAATGTAAAAGTGATGCGTACCACATTATAAACATATCACGTACGTACCAAACTTGATCCTGTACTTTACAATCAAATGTTGTTCGTTGCACACTTTAAATTCGAAACCCATTATATGCAAAATCAATATATTTAGAGTTAGGAATCTAAGATCCCAAAGTGTGGTATAAGTTGTGAGTTGTGAGATTTAAAAGATCTTTACTTTTGAGTTTTTTTTTAAAGCAATAACATATTAGAGAGAAATCTCGGATCTCATATCCTAAATAATTTCCCAAGTCTAAGTCCTTGTTTGTTTTAGCATTTGGATGCTATATGAGATTCAGCATCTAGATGCACTTTCAGATTGTTTATTTGTGAATTAATTAAAAAAAAAGTTTTGTGTAAAAAAACAGGCAACTAAATTAATTTTGCAAATTTAACCTTCAACTTTATTTTGTAAAGGTCAAACTCACCAACTCGAAAGTCACCCGCTAATCAGTCATTCTCTGTATCGTCGACGTGGCTCGATTTTGGTCCATTAAAAAAAACTGAAACGCTGCGTTTTTGGTCATTAAACGGGACGCTGTTTTAATATTCTTGCCGTTTTTAGATCATCTAACATGAAGGACAAACCTTAAAAACTAAATGTCGGAATCATCTGAAATCGATTTGGGGGAAATAAAATTAGGGTTCTTGGCTATTTTAGAATCAATTGGGTTAGAGAGTGGAAGCTGTTGGCTTAAGCTTGAAGATAGCTTGAGTCAAAAGTCATCCTAATCCTAATCGAGATATGGTTAGAGATAAGTCACAAGTTGTTTAGGAGTTATCTAAACTTAGGTGAATTATAATAGGATTAGGATTAAGGTTCTTATATAAGGAGATGCCAAGATGTGGCATAACTTATGAGCTTTGAGAGAGTTTAAGTTTTGAGCTGATTTTCTTAAACTAATAAAGAGAGATATTCTTTAACTTTGAGTTCTAGTTCGAGTTACAAATCTATAATTGGTATCAGAGCATCAGGATTGTTTCAACAGAAGAAACAATGGCTAAAGACGAGATAGTGGATGCATCAAAGGGAAACCCTACGGAGGGAGGAGGATCCTCGTCAAAAGAAGGAGGAGGAGGATCTTCCTCAATCAAGTGTCCGATACTAACCTCATCCAACTACACCGTATGGGCTATAAGGATGAAAACTTTGCTGAAAGTTAACAAAGCGTGGGATGTCATCGAAATGGGATCAATCGATGGTGATAAAAACGACATGGCCATAGCGTTGTTATTTCAGGCGATTCCAGAAACGCTTGTGTTACGGTATGGAGAGATGGATTCTGCGAAGAAGGTCTGGTTAGCTATACAAGCTAAATACGTCGGAGCAGAGAGGGTGAAGGAAGCAAGACTGCAGACACTAATGTCAGAATTTGATCGGATCAAGATGCAAGATACAGAATCAGTTGATGATTTTGCTGGAAGGTTATCTGACATCTCATCAAAGATGGCGGCTCTTGGAGAAGAAATTGAAGAAACTAAGCTTGTCAAGAAACTTCTGAAGTGCATGCCTAGAAAGAAGTTCGTGCATATTGTGGCGTCCCTTGAGCAAATACTGGATCTCAAAACCACGAGTTTTGAGGACATTACGGGACGTTTGAAAGCTTTCGAGGAACGTGTGGCGGAAGACGAAACAGAAGAGAATCAAAACAAGCTAATGTATGCAAATATGGAGTCACAATCGGGAGAGGCATATCGTGATTCCAGTGGAGGAAATAGAGGCAGAGGTCGTGGAGGACGCTCTGGAGGAAGAGGTCGTGGACGAGGCAATGGAACAAAGGATTTGTCGGAAGTAGAGTGCTTCAGGTGTGATAAGTTTGGTCACTACGCTTCAAAGTGTCCAGATCGACTACTCAAACTCAAATTACAAGAGGCACAAGAGGATGAGATCGGAGATACAGAGGTAGCAGACAAACTTATGATGCACGAGGTAGTGTATCTAAACGAGAAGAAGGTCGTTCCAAGCAAGTATGAAGCAGATCGAGAAGATGATAACGTTTGGTATCTAGACAATGGAGCTAGCAACCACATAACTGGGGATCGACGCTACTTCTCGAAGCTTGATGAGACTATTACGGGAAAAGTAAGGTTTGGTGATGATTCCCGTATAGACATCAAGGGAAAAGGGTTAATCGAGTTCATAGACAGAAACGGTGAAGCGAGAACTATGGCGGATGTCTATTGGATTCCTGATCTGAAAAGCAACATCATAAGCCTCGGTCAAGCCACTGAATCAGGGTGCGATGTGAGAATGAAGGAGGAATATTTGACAATGCATGATGGAAAGGGAAAGCTTCTGGTAAAGGCAACTTGAGGCGGAAACCGACTGTACAAGGTACGTATGGGGATAAGAAACACGTTGTGTCTAATCTCGGCAACAATGAGTGATTCTGAGAGATGGCATGCGAGATTGGGACACGTGAATCATGAGACAATGAAGACTATGGTGCAAAAGAAGCTTGTGTTGGGAGTTCCAGAGCTTAAGGTAGAAAACAAGGTCTGCGACTCATGCCTAATGGGAAAACAGACGAGACAAGTATTTCCCCAAGCCTCTTCATATCGAGCAACGAAGGTGCTAGAGCTCGTTCACGGAGATTTATGTGGTCCCATCACACCTAGTACAGCATCTGGAAACAAATATATCTTTGTTCTCATAGACGACTACTCGAGATATATGTGGACGATTCTCATGAGGGAGAAGAGTGATGCATTCAATAGGTTCAAGAGATTTAAGAGCTTGGTGGAACAAGAATCGGGAGAAAAGATTCAAACCTTCAGGACGGACAGAGGAGGAGAGTTTGTGTCACAGGAGTTCAATTCCTACTGTGATCTCGCAGGGATAAAGCGACACCTCACAGCTCCATACACCCCACAACAAAACGGCGTGGTGGAGAGAAGGAATAGAACTCTAATGGAGATGACAAGAAGCATCCTGAAGTACATGTCTTTGCCAAGTTTTCTTTGGGGAGAAGCAGTGAGGCACTCAACTTATCTCTTGAACAGAATTGCTACACGAGCGATCAAGGAGACGACACCATACGAGGCGTTCTGGAGAAAGAGACCCAATATCAGCCATATAAGAGTATTTGGCTGTATAGGATATGCAAAGGTGGACTCTCATCAGTTGAAGAAACTAGATGATAGGTCACGTCGTCTGATACATCTCGGAACGGAGCCTGGAACAAAGGGATATCGTCTGCTTGACCCGCAAACGAAGAAAATCGTGGTGAGTCGAGATGTAATCTTTGACGAAACAAGAGGCTGGAATTGGAATATAACAAATCTGGACTCGAACAGCATCGGTAGTTTCACGATCGGTTCAGGAGATTTTGGAGGTCATGGAGAACAGGGAGATCGTGAGATGATAGCGTTCGATGGCTCTGAAGCAGAGCAAGGCAGAGTCGAGCAAGACAAGGAACCAGAAACGGAGTCCAGGGAGGAAGAAAGTGGAGTTGAATCAGAAGAAGATAATGATGAAGGTACTCACGGTGAAACCGAGCTAAGAAGATCACAGAGAGTGAGAGAAAAGCCAAAGTATCTTGCAGACTACATACTACTTGCAGAGATAGAGGGAGAATGGTTACTTTTGAGTCTGAATGACGAGCCAAAGGACATTTATGAGGCAAAAGAGTCAAGGAATTGGATGTTGGCTTGTGAAGATGAGATATTGTCCATCAACAAGAACAAAACGTGGACGCTTGTTGACCTACCACGCGGAGCAAAACCAATCGGCTTGAAGTGGGTGTTCAAGCTAAAGAGGAACTCAGACGGAAGCATTAATAAACACAAGGCAAGACTTGTCGCCAAGGGATACGTGCAGAGATACGGGATTGATTTCGAAGAAGTTTTTGCTCCAGTAGCTCGGATTGAAACAATTCGTCTTCTTATCAGTCTCGCAGCATCTAAGGGATGGGAGATACATCACCTTGACGTCAAGACAGCGTTTCTTCATAGGGAGTTAAAAGAAACAGTCTATGTTTCCCAGCCTGATGGCTTTGTGGTAAAAGGAAGTGAAGAAAAGGTTTACAAGCTGAACAGAGCGTTGTATGGACTTAAGCAAGCTCCGAGAGCTTGGAATGACAAGTTGAATCTGATTCTTAAGGAGTTACAGTTCAAGCGATGCTCCAAAGAACCATCAGTCTATCGGAAGAAAGTAAGTCAAGAGATTCTCCTTCTTGCAGTGTATGTCGACGATCTATTTGTCACAGGGACAAGTAAAGAGATCATAGAAGAATTCAAGAAAGAGATGTCATCAAAGTTCGAGATGAACGATCTCGGAAAGCTAACCTACTATCTTGGAATAGAGGTACAACAAGATAAAGAATGCATAACATTGAGTCAAAAGCGTTATGCCTTGAAGATATTAGAGGAAGCAGGAATGGAGGACTGTAACCCAGTTCATACGCCAATGGAGGCTGGCTTGAAGCTCTCTAAGGCAACAGAGGAAAAAGACATTGATGCTACAACATACAGAAAGCTCGTCGGGTGCTTACGTTACTTGTTACACACAAGACCAGATCTGTCTTATTGTGTAGGTGTGCTCAGCCGCTACATGCAGAATCCAAAGGAGTCCCATGGAGCAGCAATGAAACAGTGCTTAAGATACCTACGTGGAACAACCACACTTGGACTTGTGTTCAAGAAATCTTCGTCGGCTGCAATGAAGTTAGTTGGCTACAGCGATAGTAGCCATAACGTGGATCCAGATGATGGCAAGAGTACAACCGATCATGTGTTTTATCTTGGAGAGAGTATGATCTCGTGGTGTTCACAGAAGCAAGACACGGTGGCCCTGTCTTCTTGTGAGGCTGAATTCATGGCAGGAACAGAGGCAGCAAGACAGGCAATATGGCTTCAGGACTTACTTGGTGAGATCACTGAGACAGTTTGCGAGAAGGTTGTTATCAAAATAGACAACCAGTCGGCCATTGCTCTCACCAAGAACCCGGTGTTTCACGGACGAAGCAAACACATTCACACGAGGTATCACTTCATAAGGGAATGCGTTGAGAACAGACAAGTAGAAGTGGAGCATGTTCCCGGGACAGAACAAAAGGCGGACATATTAACGAAGGCACTTGGAAAGCTCAAGTTCAAGGAAATGAGGGAGCTCACTGGCATGAAGGTTGTAGTTGAAGATGACTTCAAGCTTAGGAGGGAGAATGTTGGCTTAAGCTTGAAGATAGCTTGAGTCAAAAGTCATCCTAATCCTAACCGAGATATGGTTAGAGATAAGTCACAAGTTGTTTAGGAGTTATCTAAACTTAGGTGAATTATAATAGGATTAGGATTAAGGTTCTTATATAAGGAGATGCCAAGATGTGGCATAACTTATGAGCTTTGAGAGAGTTTAAGTTTTGAGCTGATTTTCTTAAACTAATAAAGAGAGATATTCTTTAACTTTGAGTTCTAGTTCGAGTTACAAATCTATAGAAGCAGAAACTGGGAGTCAAACTAGACTTAGTGATAAACGACATTCATATTCTGAGCTCGATATGAGGTACTTTGGTTTGCTTAAACATCGTTTTCCTCTTCTGCTAGAATGTAAAATTGACCTCCGCTAGATTTTTGTGAGGTATTGGGGTTAAATTTTATTGATGTTTCGTTTTGAGTAGGTTAGTAGCCGTTCATGAGATGGGTGGAGAGAGTTTATAGAAAAAGTTGATAATTTTTAGTGAAAGTTCAGGAAAAGTCAGAGGAAAGTTTATGAGATGGGTGAAGAGAGTTTACGATGAGATGAGTGAGTTTTATTTGGGGATGTATGTTGTAGTTAAGAGGAGTAATTACAAGAATGGAAGAGATGGGACTGGGGAGTGAAGTATTTTAAGATATTTTTGAAACTTTGCTATTGCGATCTCTAATAGAGAGAAAGGCGAGCTTGGACTTGTTTAAACCCAGGCCATAGGTTCCATGGTAGAGGCTATCCAGAAGACAATGGTTATGCTAACTGCAAGTTCTTCAGATGGTACGATGAGGAATAACCAAGCGGATGACAACATTTGGCGGTATTGGAGGCACTATAATTCATGCAAGATCAGATAAATGAAATTGAAGCTTTGACTAATCTGGTGAGAACACTTGCTCATAATACTGAGAGTGAAGTTGGTCTTAACGGAGAGGTGTAGTGGTCTCCGAAATGTTCTCGTCGCTTCATCACTTGGATTTCTGTCCTTATTGGAAGAATGGTGGGCTGGCAATGTGAAACTCTAAGGATGCGTTATGTTGTTTGTTGTTCTTGTTTTTTTTCACCTTTTATGTGCTTACTTTGGTAATGAGACGTCATGTTTCAGACTTTTAAGTCAATTTAATGTCAAATAGTTTCTTAATCCTATGTTAAGACTTATTTCTATCCAATTTGTAAGACTTAATTGTAAAGTTAATGATATTTTGTTAAGGTTATGCTCTTTACTATGCAAAGAAGGCGATATACATAACCCTCGTATCGTTGTCGTCCAGATTCCCCTTCAGGCTTCAGCTCAACATAAACATCTTTTAGATTAGGTTGTGTTATTTCAGTTAAGAGTCACAAGTAGGAAGAGACACAACTCTTTGTGTCTTAGTGTCTGTTTGTTTTCTGTTTAAACACATAGTTTCGTGATGTAACATATACAGTTTGATTTTACTTTCAATAAAGATACAAGTTTCTCTCATACTCTGTTTTTTCGTTGCTTTTCTTTTATAAAACAGAGCAACAAGTAAACACTTGTTTTGTTCTTTGTGAGAAAGAAGCTTCTCGCTTCTAACAAGTTCGTCCATAGCTTGCTTACCGGATTTGCAGAGAGAGACATTTGACTCCTCAATTTCAGCTTCCACTCTCTAATCCAATTGATTCTAAAATTGCCAAGAACCCTAATTTTATTTCCCCCAAATCGATTTCAGATGATTCCGGACATTTAGTTTTGTCCTTCTTGTTAGATGATGTAAAAACAGTAGAGGATATTAAAAACAGCGTCCCGTTTTAGTAACTAAAACAACGCAGCGTTTCATTTTTTTTAATGGACAAAATCGGGCCACGTCGACGATGGCTGATTAGCAGATAGACTTTCGAGTTGGTGGGTTTAACCTGCACAAAATAAAATTGAGGGTTAAATTTGCAGAATCAATTTAGTTGCCTGTTTTTTTGCACAAAACCTTTAAAAAAACTAGATACAAAAAATATATCAAGTGACTAAAAGGATATCTTATTTAAAAACCTAAACATACGATTTTACGGTTTTAGCAAAAAAAAATACAGTTTTATAATTTTGACGGAAAAATACGATTTTATAGTTTTAAAATTTTGACTAAACAATGCGATTTCACGGTTTTACGGTTTTGACTGACAAACTTAGTTTTACTATTTTGATGGAAAACACGATTTAATGGTTTTGACGGAAAACACTGTTTTACAGTTTTGGCAGAAAACACTAATTTAAGGTATTTGGCAGAAAAACACGGGTCTAACGGCCTAAAATGTTGTTTAACGGTTTTGGTGGAAAAACGCAGTTTTAGGGTTTAAAATGTGATTTTACGGGTTTGACAGAAAATACGGTTTTATGGTTTTGACATATAAATGTGGGTTTATGGTTTTGGCGAGAAAAAGCGGTTTGACGGTTTTGGCAGAGAAACTTGGTTTACTGGTTTAATTAAAAAACATGGTTTTAAGACTTGGGGAAAAATGGTTTAACAGTTTTGGCACAAAAACATGGTTTTAAAGTTTTGGCGAGAAAAATGCGGTTAGAATTTGGTTTTTAAAAACGTGATTTTGTGGTTATGGCGAAAAGACATGATTTCCTGGTCTTGGCAAAAAACGCGATTTTACGGTTTTGGTGGAAAATGTAATTTTACAGTATTGGAGGAACACATGATTTTACAATTTTGGTGGAAAAAACGTAATTTTACAGTATTGGTGGAACATATGATTTTACAATTTTGGCAGACATACGTGATTTTACGGTTTTGCAGAAAGACGTAATTTTATGGTTGTTGTGGAAAGATGTGATTTTACGGTTTTGATGGAAAACTCGGTTTAACGGTTTTGACGGAAAACACTGTTTTACGGTTTTGGCAAAAAACACTGTTTTACGGTATTGGCAGAAAAACACGGATCTAACGGTTTTGACCAAAAATGTTGTTTAACGGTTTTGGTGGAAAAATGATGTTTTACGGATTTGGCAGAAAAATGTGATTTTACAGTTTTGGCACAAAATCGGTTTTACGGTTTTAACAAATGAATGCAGGTTTATGGTTTTGGCGAGCAAAAGCGGTTTGACAGTTTTGGCAGAGAAACTTGGTTTACTGGTTTAATGAAAAAAAAACACTATTTTAAGACTTAAGAAAAAATGGTTTAACAATTTTGGCAGAAAAACATGGTTTTAAAGTTTTGACGAGAAAAATGCGGTTAGAATTTGGTTTTTAAAAAAGTGATTTTGTGGTTATGGCGAAAAGACACAATTTTCTGGTTTTGGTGAAAAACATGGTTTTTGTCGGAAATATGTGATTTTATGGTTGTTGTGGAAAGATGTGATTTTACGATTTTGATGAAAAACGCGGTTTAACGGTTTTGACGGAAAACACTGTTTTACGGTTTTGGCAGAAAACATTGTTTTACGGTACTGGCAGAAAAACACGGGTCCAACGGTTTTGACCGAAAATGTTGTTTAACGGTTTTCGTGGAGAAACGTGGTTTTTCGGTTTTGGCAGAAAAATGTGATTTTACAGTTTTGGCAGAAAATTCGGGTTTACGATTTCAATAGATAATGCGGGTTTATGGTTTTGGCGAGCAAAAGCGATTTGGCGGTTTTGGCAGAGAAACCTGGTTTAGTGGTTTAATGGAAAAAAAACACGGTTTTAAGACTTAGGAAAAAATGGTTTAACCATTTTGGCAGAAAAACACAGTTTTAAAGTTTTGGCGAGAAAAAAATGCGGTTAGAATTTGGTTTTTAAAAAACGTGATTGTGTGGTTATGGCAAAAAACGCGGTTTTACGGTTTTGGTGGAAAAACATAATTTTACAGTATTGGTGAACAACATGATTTTACAGTTTTGGCGGAAATACGTGATTTTACGGTTTTGCAGAAAGACGTGATTTTATGGTTTTGATGGAAAACACGGTTTTACGGTTTTGACAGAAAACACTGTTTTACGGTTTTGACGGAAAACATTGTTTTTCGGTTTTGGCAGAAAACACTGTTTTACAGTATTGGCAGAAAAACACGTGTCTAACGGTTTTGAGCGAAAATGTTGTTTAAAAGTTTTGGTGTAAAACGCGGTTTTACGGTTTTGGCAAAAAATGTGATTTTACAGTTTTGGCAGAAAATACGGTTTAACAAAAAAATGTGGGTTTATGGTTTTCGGCGAAAAAGAGCGGTTTGGCGGTTTTGGCAGAGAAACTTGGTTTACTGGTTTAATTAGAAAACACGGTTTTACAACTTGGGAAAATGCGGTTTTACGGTTTTGGCAGAAAAACACGGTTTTAAAGTTTTGACGAGAAAAATGCGGTAAAAATTTGGTTTAAAAAAACGTGATTTTGTGGTTATGGCGAAAAGACATGATTTTGTGATTTTGGCGAAAAACGTGGTTTTGCGGTTTTGGTGGAAAACGTAATTTTACAGTATTGGTGGAAAACATGATTTTACAGTTTTGTAGAAAGAAGAAAGGCGTAATTTTATGGTTTTTATGGAAAGATGTGATTTTACGGTTTTAGTGGAAAAAACATGATTTTACGATTTAAGGGAATAATGTAATAATACGTTTTGGCTAAAAATAGTATTTTATGATTTCAGCGGAAAAATATGATTTTATAGTTAATGTGATTTATTCTTTTTGTTTTTAGATGCAGATACTACACAAACTCTACTGTTTATTAGCATCTAGATATTTGGGATATTATTGATTTTGCATTTGAATTCAAATGCTGTATTTGGATTTCAGTTTTGTTTTTTAACAAACGAACAACATCATTTCAGCGTCTGGCTGCCAAATGCAGCATCCAGATGATGCACAAACCATACTCTAAAGTGTTGAGATTGGATTTTACACTAATGCTTTAACACAGAAATCACAACAGAGTTACGAGGTAGTTCAGAACTTTTATAGCCAGTTAAAAACGAATTTCTTGCTAAATATTACTAGTGGCAAATATTTATGTCTTAGCAATTATGTAAATATGTTTCTCAAGCACAACAACGATAATTATAGCAAAGTTTGTCCAAAATAAATAAATAAAAACACCAAGTCGACAAAAGCAAGAAGCAAAGATAGAAACCAGACGAGGTGACGTGATCAAACCTGCCGAAAAGGGTAAAAATATACATATATTAGTGTTATTTATAGAAAAGAGATTTGACTAAAATAATGAAATACATTAGTTAATACGTACCCGAATTTTAACACCAAGTCGACAAAAGCAAGAAGCAAAGATAGAAACCAGACGAGGTGACGAGATCAAACCTGCCGAAAAGGGTAAAAATATACATATATTAGTGTTACTTATAGAAAAGAGATTTGACTAAAATAATGAAAATACATTAGTTAATACGTACCTGAATATCAACATACTCAATGATGATTCCAGGGTATTGTATAATCCGAAGAAAGCCCCTATCCCCATTTCCGACATTTCCCTTGTCGTCCATAAACTCCCAGTACGGTACTCCGTTCTCGTCGACACCTGAACCTGTTTAACACCTTCTACTTTAAATCCATTTTATAACAACATTTAAAGTTTCAGTTGTATACCCTTTTTAATGGACGTAGGAGGAGATTTACCAGTCAAAAGCATAGTGTGCACCATTTTACTCCGACTAGAAGGCCTTACCCTGTATGCTCTCCATTCTTCATCGGTTGGCTTATAGATATCCTACGAAAAAACGAAATCAGAATAATATGAACGAAATAAAACTGAAAAAAAAAAGGAAAGAAAATCATAACAAACAGCTTACAACTCCACCAGGATTGTTCTCTGCATAGCTGTTGAACCAGATAATTGATGCAGTAACAGGTGACTCATCATCAAGGAAGGATTTGATGTCTTCGATGCCCAAGTGCCAGTCATAAAATACAACTGTGGCAGACTTGGCCTTATACTCTGTCCCTGTCACCACCTTCCTGAACTGACACATGTAAAACAGAAAAGAAATGTCAAATAAGAATCAGTTATAATAGAAGGAAAAACAGAAAACTTATAAAAGTACTTACACGAGCCCTTTCTTCAGGAGTTGGCACATTCAAGGTCAAAGGACACTCATCTTCTGTCACAATGCCAATGTTCTGAAGAATCTTGACCGCATGTATCAAGTCCGTAAGATCCCCCTCATCTGATTGGTTAGGAGTCTTGTTGATCAGATCTTGAACAGACAAATGCTTCTCTATTGGCAACAACTTCTTCAGCTTCAGGACTGCCTCAGACCAATCTTTTGTATCAGCTCTGATGGAAGGACAACGAAAGGGTCTAGTTGCTCATATCCCTCACTGCCTCCCATCCTCCATGACTCGTATTTCACAGTCTCCAGGGCCTTCCTCAGCTCTCTTCTCAAACGTCTTGAAAGAGTTTTCAAAAATCTTCGACTGCTCAAGGCCGCAAACGATGGCAACTGAGCTAAGTTAGCCGCCTGCAATCAAAGACAGTGACAAAAACTGAATCCACAAAAAAAAAGAGGAATTGTGGAATGAACACCAGAAAACATTCAGCAAAAATAAATGAGAAGAAATCCACTAACAAGGCAAATGTACATGAATAAGTGGAATGATGATGAGCTGGGATACTTAATTTCACTTTTAAATCAATCAATAAATATCGTTTTTTCCATTTTCATTCATGTAATGGCTATTATTCAGTTCATTAATGAATGGTTTCCAATTATCTAAGACAAAAGATCTTACCGAATCATCGGACCTCTCAAAAGAGGTAGCAACTTTCCTCAAGATGGTGTCAATGAATTTCCTCCTTAGGAATCTCACTTCGCATATTCGCCTCTCATACTCAAGGAATCCATCTCTTTCCAGAGAGATTAACACTTTCCTTTCACCATCCTCACCCTTGGAGACAGTAATCTCACGGACAACCGCAGCCTCGATCCTGCCAACCACGGTGCGCCTACAGCATGAAGTTTGGACAATCCTGCCTTCCATGTTGTTGTACTCCAGTAGAGTAACCCAAGCTCCCTCCTCGTCAGTGCTTTTCACTTCTACCATCACCACTATAGATTTACTAAAGCATATTGAATAAGGCTTGATTGAAGATGCAGTCTACTATTGAACACCATAAGCTTTTAATTAGTTTGGTATACAATTGCAGTTACACATGGTACTATGATTGTCTTAAATCAACCCTATCTAATCACTAAATCTTCCTGTATAGATTGCATAAATGGAACGACTATACTGAAAAACGACTTAGTGTTCCTACTATTCACTGAAAAACGACTTAGTGATTCTACAATTCAAGGCTAATCTTTGTCATATTTAATGTGTGGAATGAACACCAGTTATACGGAAAAAAAAAAATCAGCAAAAATAAATGAGAAGAAAACCACTTAACATGTACATGATACTTGAATAAAATGGAAAAAATATAAATATTTATTGATTCAATTGATAAACCACCTATAACTTAAGATCACAGTGATTTGTATATTTCTTTACCTGTCTCTCTCCCAGCTCTCTTCGTTGATTCATCCCCCCCCCCCATTTCTGTCCTTTTAAGGAATTTGGATCATATCTAACACCACCTCAAATAATCAAGAAACAAGATTATGGAAGAAGCAGTAAAAAAACATGAAATTATACTTGATCAAAACATGCAAAAAAAAAATTATCGATTTGCTAATGCTTATTTAATAAGACTTGATAGGAGAGCCAGTCTGTATTGAACATCAAAAGTTTTCGATTAGTTTGGTATACAAATGCAGTTAAGTTACACTTGGTACTATGATTGTCTTAAATCAACCTATCTAATCAATAAAATTGCATAAGTGGAACACAAGTTTCCTACTATTCATTGAAAAACGACTTAGTGATTCTACTATTCAAGGCTAATTCTTTGTTATACGATCATACAAAATCTGATAATCAGGTGAGATAGGGTTAGGTAAATTTTTGGTAAGCTGAATCTGTTTTTCCATAACTAATTGGTTTCTTCTGATCTAAAAAAAAAAAAAAAACCTCCTTCTTCTACATTAACCACCTAAAATTATATTTATGTCCATGTTCAAGCTGGAAACTAAAGTTCATACCCTAAGATACCACTCGTCTGCAAATAATGAAGAGAAAAAAACAGAGATTCTTACTGGCGTTGAAAAAAAAACATAAATAAGTAGATCGAACATGGAAACCAGGAGTCAATAACTTGATATTATGCAAATAACAAGGTTCAATTGAGACACTTGCAAACCAAACAATACTGAAATGAGATTCGCAATAAGGCTAACTTCACCTATAATAAACCGATCGACAACAATAACGAGATTTGAACAAAGACTAAATATTATATACATAGAGACAATTATGATGAACAAATGGATGCTAGATCTTGAAATGGATGATAAACCATCTTTGCCAAAAAAGAAGAAGTCAGAGAATTACAAGGAACACGTAAGCCTTTTTGTAACTAAAACAGAGAGAGTATTGGTTACTTATCGGATCTCCTGCAAAGTGGAGGAGGAGGCCGGATCTGTCAATACCACGGTGATCCATCTCGGAGATTTCAACTGAGGATGGGAACAGAAGATGAGATCTAAGACTGCTACGGATGATTTAGCAAGAGATATCTAAGATGGATTTCTCTGGTTAATTCAACCGTAGCAATCTTAGATGTTTAACAGAAGGACGAGGATCGTTGTTTACAAGGAAGAGAGCGTGAGGGTTAACGAAAAAAAGCAAAAAAGAAAGCGTGAGGGAGTAATAGGCATATTATATAGGCCCGACAACTTTGCTAATAAAGAGGTAATTTCCTTGTTTTCACGTGTTGGTCAATATCTTTACCCAATAACCTCTCTTAATTAGTTACCTTCTGATTAGGTTAGTTCCCGGATTTTACGGCCTTCCCAAAAACGTCTGTATCTTCATTTAATACTCCTTTTTTTTTTTGTTAAAAGTATCTTCCTTCCCAAAAACGTCTGTCTCTTCATTTAATACTCCTTTTTTTTTGTTAAAAGTTCATTTCATTTTTATACTCCTTTTTTTTTGTTAAAAGTTCATTTCATTTTTATACTCCATTTCAATTTTATACTCCTAATAATAAATCATTTTTTATTATTTAATATTTTGTATATTGATGATGTTTTCACAATTAAATTCAGTTTATTCTTCTTTAGCTATCTAAAATAAATTAATTCAAACTATACGGCCTTCCCAAAAACGTCTGTATCTTCATTTAATACTCCTTTTAATTTTTGGTTGAAAGGATCTTCGTTTCATTTAATACTCCATTTCATTTAATACTCCTAATAATAAATAATTTTGTACTATTATTTAATATTATGTATATTAATGACGTTTCACAATTAAATTCAATGTTTTCTTTTTAGCTATCTAAAATAGATTAATTCAAACTACAAAGTTTTTATATGTAATTAATATTTAAAGAGCAACTCTTATAAATAGTTCTTTACTACCAAAAAAAACTTATAAATAGACAAAAAAAACTTTTATTGGACAAAATTGGACACCTAAGTTTTTATTTCCAAAAATAGACTAAAACTCAACATAAAATAATTCAAAAAAATTTCTTAAACCCCAAAATATAAAATCTAAACCCTCAATCCCAAAAACTAAACTCTAAATCCAAAATATATAAAATCTAACTTGAGAATAATGAACCCAAACATCCATTTTAGGGTATTTCTTATAGTTAAAATGCATGTTATTTGACTTTAAATAGTGAGAAGAGAATTTTAGATATTTTATTTTCTTTTTATATATGATTTTTGTTAAAATTACTTCAGCAGCATTGTTGATAATAATATGATATTTAGTGTAGATTCCCCGGATTACACACACAAAGCTTGAGAAATCTCTATATTTTACGCGTATGTATCTTATATATTTGTTACTGAATTTTAATATTTCTCGCTCTTTATTTTTTTGTACAAAATATAGTTTTCTTTTTTTATATATATATATATATATATATATATATAAAAACATGTGGTAGTATCTTCTTCTACAGTGAAGTGAACAATGAACAAGTGGGGATTGTGTTGTGGTGGCTAACGCAGCAAGTGGGGCAAGTGGGACAAGTATTTTATGTATAGTAACAAAAATTTACAATCAATGCTTTACACCAGTTTTGAACTTTTGATTAGAACTTAGAAGAACGAATATAATACCGTTGAGTATTCTTGTATTTACTTTCAACGGAGTAGTATGGTATTTTGTTGGGTATTCTTGTCATTCACTTTCAACGGTGAACAACGGTGCCGTCAATATTTTGATCATACCGTTGACTTTCAAAAAAATGTTTTTGCAAACTCGACATAAAATTATTTTCGTGTTACCAATAATATAACAGTCAACGGATTGTCACTTGTCAGATGCACTTTTTTATGTCTCGTTCCTTTACTGTCTTGCTTGGAACACGTACGTCCATCTGTAAACTGTCATTGTCAATATTTGTTGAATGTAATGATTTAAATTTATGGAATATTGTTGAAAATGCCTCAAGGACTAAACTAGCTGCTATCCCAAATAATCTACAACAGGTTTATCGATCTTTTCACTTTAGTCTAATCGGATTTTTTAAAAAGCTCTACCTTTAGGCTTTAGCAACGAAACCACACTAGGAAGATCGAAGCAAATACGATCGAAGCAAAAGTATTTGGATATATCAGTTTCGATCATGGTCAGTATTGGTTGACTTCGGTTCAATCCAAAATCCAACTCTGACTTCGGTTTTTTCTGATTTATTTTTTTCCCAAATTGATTGAATGTCGGTCTAACTCTAAATCGGTTTCAAGTCAGTTTGATTTCCGGTTTAATTCAATTGATTTTGGTTTAAGTTGATTTTGGTTTGGTTTATTATTCAAACCGGAATTTATTTGTTTTTCTGAATTTTTTGATTGATTTCTAAGTTGGGTTTTGATTAACTGCTTTACTTGAATTATGTTCTGGGATAATATAAATTGGTTTTATGTACTGATTGTCATGATGATTATGTTTGGTTTCGTAGAAATCATATATTTCATCAAAAAACATATCCGTATTCGACATGATTCCCCTTGACAACTTTGATTGATATCAAAAACTGTGATTTTTAAGTTTGAATATACATATAAGGAATCGAAGATATCATAGATTATTATGCATATAAACACAAAAAAATAAACAAATAATTAAATGAAAAGAAAATATTCCGCAAAAACAAAATTTGAACTGATTATGAGGGTCATGCTTATAATAAATTAATAATCAGTTCAAATTTTCTTCTTTGATTAATTTTCTTTTTACGATCCATATGAGACATTTATATTTCCAAGATGCCAAGGCGCTATGATGATGTTCTTGAAAAACCAAGGGCTACTGATGCAGTAGTAGATCACAAACTGGGACGGGGTTTTCTCTACAAAGAAATATATTACTAGAAACTTCTTTAAGATAACTTACAAGTATATGCTTAAACGAACTCAACAATCACAATCTATCCACGATCTGGTTGCTGTTCTAGTAACTCTCACGTTCTCAGATCTATCCACGATCTTTGAACCTCTCAAACCCTAGCCCCCATTGTCCTAGCTTTCTTACAAGAAATCTAAACCCAAATATGCTAAAGCTCTCAAGTTTGTGATAGCCGCTTACAAGCAGCCAAGGTCCTCTATTTATACTCAATAGACAAACCGCCAAACCCTACAAGGTTTGTGTCTTGGTGATTACTCCAAATCTCCAAGGGAATATTTCCTTTCCTTATTTTTCTCTAAGAATAGAAAATATTCCTTTTGTCTTGATAGCCGCCTACAAGCAGCCAGAGCACCCTATCTATCCACAATAGGCGTGCCTAGAAACCCTACAAGGTTTCGGTCTTGATGATTGCTCCAAATCCTCAAGGGAATATTTCCTTTCCTTATTTTTCTCTAAGAATAGGAAATATTCCTTTTGTGTTGATATCTCCAACTCTCCTCATCCAGCTCAGCGACCGCCTCTTCTGGATTCGTCCTTATCCGCTACAAGCTCGCATCCAGCTCAGCAACATTCCTTTAGCTCCGTTAAGCTCCACTTAGCTCCGCTACAAGTCCGTCCATACGTCCTGATGCACTTCCTGACTGATTCACGATCTGCGTCAAACCAGTTGCATCTTCAGTTCTACATTCTGAAAGCAAAAACTGTCAAAGCATCAAAAAGATACTCTCTTTCATGTGACCAGCAAAAACACTACACTAGTGATAGCTAAACCAAATTTAAGTATCTTGATAGTAGTTTTTTTTATCGGAATTTTTAATTTATACTTCTTTTATTTTATTTTTTTTATAAATTTTCTAGACTTTTTACACATATTAAGAAAAAGTTGATTTTTAATCATTAGTGTATAGATTTTTGCAATAAAACAACTTCTCTAAACCAAATTTAAGTATCTTGATAGTAGTTTTTTTTATCGGAATTTTTAATTTATACTTCTTTTATTTTATTTTTTTTATAAATTTTCTAGACTTTTTACACATATTAAGAAAAAGTTGATTTTTAATCATTAGTGTATAGATTTTTGCAATAAAACAACTTTCTATGATTTTAAACCAATAAAAATCTAATAAACACAATTATTATTTTTTAAAAACTGAAAAATTATATCAAAAAAGTATAAAATTTATCTTTGTAAAACAAAAAATAATGTCTAGAAAATTCATATTAAAAAAACGAAAAAAGAAAAGAGCACTTATTAGCCTATTTTACTATGCGATGCTTAATTAATCAAATTGAGTTAATGAATATATATATATATATATATATATATATATATATATACTACGTTAATTGATCACATGAGCTTATAAAGCAAAAAAGTCTCAGTCATATACGGTCACATGTTGAAAGGAAGACGAAATTGTTTTTGAAACAAAAAAAAAAGTCGTATGACATTTAAATTTGTGCTTATCTTATTTCTCAAGCTATCCCCTAAAGATAGAAATTTTCATCTTTTATTTTTGCTTTTCCTTTTTATCTTTCTTTTCTTCATGCATTTTATCTTATCATAGTCGGCAGCTATATCCTGTTAACGTTAAAACTGATACAATAGACATAATTATTAAATTATGTTACTCAATCAAATCATCTTATGGGGATAACAATATGGTTCCGATTTCAGAAATTGGGAATACCCAAATTTATTGAAAGACCAACCTTTGAAAACCTCTAACCTCAATCTTTACATCTATCTTTTCTCTCAATTTTTTTCCGTCTTAAGTTCATTGTTAAATATTGGATTGTTAAATATTGGAAACCTCGAGCCTCAAACTGCAAATGAGAGACGAGTACTATTTGTTCATGACTTTTGGAACACTCGCTTGAATGAAACACGATGACCACATAATAAAGTCAAATACATTCCATCTTTTATTTGGCCCAATAGAAGTCCATTCACTGTTCTTAACTAACCAAAATTTACAATTTGTTTTTGGTTACTGATTACGTAAAACAGTTTTGGAATCCGTTAAAACACTCTGGCCAAAGCTCACAAAGCCAATGCTACCCTACAAGTCATACTAGTTACTATGATGATCACATGAGCTTATAAAGCGAAAAGGTCTCACTCATATGATCACATGTTGAAAGCTAGACGAATATATATGAAAAACAATCTTATGAGACCAAGATATATAACTTATTCATAAGTAATTACGAAATGTAGTATCGTTACTTGGTTTGAGCTTTTGCCTTCTCGTTCTCTTCACATGCAATTATATCAACGCGAGACTCTTCTCTTTCTCTATGTTAGCAAGTGTCACAAGTATGAAGAGAAAAAGAACATCTACAAAATAAAAGTTCATAATTCACACATAGATTTTCATTTTTCGTTGGAATATATTTCCCTTATATACATCACATCAACTTAACGAGTCAAGTCCAATAGAGAATTTGATGGACGATAATTGATTCATGGAAAGAGGACAAATGATTCTTAGAAACATCCACAGGTTTTGGTAGTGGGTGGATAGGCACTTGGAGTTGCACTTAGCTTCTCACTCATTTTTTCCAATTTGATAGTTTCTTGTCCCTTTTGTTTTTCTATTTTTTCTCTTTTCGCTTCTGCAATCTTCTCAATTTCGGGTACCTTTTTCTTGAATCTTTTTGTATATTCAGCTTTCTCCAGTTCTAATTTCTCCTGATGAAAATAACATTTTAGCACACCAGTGTGTGTAGCAGTAAAAATAGCTAATAATTTGATGATTTGGACAAAGGTTGTGTCTAATAATTTACAACGGAATATTAGTTTATTTGTTAAACTTTCAATACGTTAATATGCTGATTACCATGTTTTTCCAATCTTAATTTTCTTATGATTTTGTTTATATTTCACTATAAACGTTATATGATATTGAAATATTGAATAGCTAAAAACGAGCTGAAAAGAAAATCTGAATACCTCCATTTTTTTCAAATCTAATTCTAAAGCTGTCTTCATGTTGTTCTCCCATATTTCAATGGAGCAAAGTTCTCTGTTAGCCCTGCTTAAATGGAAAACTATTTAATAGAAAAAATATTGGTATTATAAAATAAAAGAACTAGTAATCTCCCGTATCATGCAATATATATAATTATATGTTTGAATTTTTATTTTCATCACGTCAATAATGTGTGACAAATGTTTTTATTATTTATATTTGAATTAAAAAATAATGTTGAGCTAGCTTTATAGTTCTAACTTCATAAACAACTACAAAAGGTATATGGTAAATTGGTAAATTTTACTTGGTTTGAGCTTTTGCCTTCTCGCTCTCTTCCCATGCATTTATCAAAGCAAGACTCTTATCTTTCTCTATCTTAACAAGATTTCCATCTACATATATATCAATCATTTAACAAAATCAAAAAATTGAAAACTTTACAATGTAGAAAATTTAGAAACAAGAATTATGTATAATAATATTATTATTAGATATAAGAGATAACATACTTTGACTTGCAGCCAAAATGAGAGTATTCTGCTCATATAATGGAGAATCTTTCTTGACTTGCTTATCTTGTCCCATGTTCGGATTTCTCTTCTCGTTGTTATTCTTTCACTTTTTCAGAGTTGTACGTAGATCCTCATTTTAAAATAAGAACTAATAGTAAAAAATCTTTACTCAAATTACTAAATGCACAAAAATAAAGATAGATATACCTTTTGAAGATTAACTAAAGACAAGGAGTAGAAATGGAAAATCTCGTATGTTAAGTGATGACTTCGACTTATAGGTGCATGAGTTATATATCATCGATAATTTTTACTTTAAGAAACCAGTTCCACTGTTTAGGTTCGGGTAGGTGAAACATACTAATAGAAATGTACTTAACGGAAACTCCAAGTATTGACTATTGAGTGAATGCTTAATCCGTAATGGAGCTCTAAGTTTTCAGTGCTTAATTATAACGATACAAAATGGTGGTACTAACCAACTTTCATCAACCAAAATCAAAAGTTCTAAAACTCAGATTGTACAATAAATTTGTGGCCACTTATTACATTAAACAGTTTGGAATCCGTTAAAACACTCTGGCCAAAGCTCACAAAGCCAATGCTACCCTACAAGTCTTACTACGATGATTGATCACATGAGCTTATAAAGCGAAAAGGTTTCACTCATATGATCACATGTTGAAAGGGAGACGAATATATATTATTAAAAAAACAATCTTATGCTTATCTTATTTCTCAAGCTATCCCTTAAAGATGTATAATTTAGGTCTTTATATTTGCTTTTCCTTTTTAGTCTTTCTTTTCTTCATGCATTTGATCTTATTATAGTCGGCAGCTATATATATAGTTAACATTAAAATTTATTGGATTAAGACAAATTTTGTCAAATTATTTCAAGGATACCCCGTTTTGTTTTCCTTCTAATTAAGTTCATTGTTAAAATATTGGAAAGCATCACATGCGTGATCACTCGCGTAATCATGCATTAGCTGGAAAATGATCACGTATTCATAAACTTAAAAAGGAGTCTAATGACATACCAAGTTTTGGACCTGCTATAAGGTTTAGAAAATGTGGCTGTGTACTGTGTACACATTATAGGCGTCACTTTTACATTGATCATGATTTTAAGATATAAGATCTCACCAAACCGAAAAGAAAAAAGGATGATGATGATGATTTAAAGGAGGATCAAGGGTATCTATTAGTCGATAATCAAGGACTATTGCAGAGAAATAATGATTACTTAGGTGTTTAGGTGCATTCTCACGTCTATATTGTATGCAATTTGTTTGTATAAGTATTGGTGTAATTAAACATCTACATCCTTGCGTAATAAAAAACAAAATACATCCACATCTTTTTTGGTTCATACTTCTTTGTTGATTGGTGCCTCTCTCCAAATATATATCACAAATTGAGAAAAATGCAATTTCTTTCAAGAAATAATAACAAGGTAGATATTGTTAAGTTTTATTGGTCTATTTTATGGGTTACATTACGAAGTATGTATTGATTAATCATATGATGATACAATGGCGCAAATTGGATTATATACGTTCAAAAGAACCCATTACGAATACTACATTGTATTTTTTTTTCTTTTTGGTCGAAACGAATACTACATTGTAAGTGATTACCAATTTAACATTCAATCTGTATGATTCCTGTGATCTTAAAAGGACTAATTCTAAAAGTTTAAAATCGTTCATAAATGATATCTTATGATTCGTTATGTACATTAATGCTTCTGGGACCTCTCGACACAACTTCTCCATATTTTCTTTAGATTTGTGGTTAACTGATGAAATTTAGTTTTGGAAATGTGCCCCCATCATGCATGTGCTTCTTGTACTTTTTATAAAGAGCCATCGATATCTATTATAGATTTTTCTTGATATAGATCAGTAGACCTGAAAGCTAAACTGAAATGATTATAGACCTTATTTTTCTCAATTTGCATTTGGCCTAAATTGGTTATGTGTTTCACATACATGACTTTGCTATTTTGGTTTAGCAATACTAGTTTGGGAGTTTTTGTATTTACATACATTGTTATGAGCCCCCTGAATAAATATTAACATGTCCTCATGTCCTCATAAATTTGGTTCTTTGTTAGGACCATGGAACCTTATTTTCACTAGGAGCATGGGACTTTGACTGCACACTTTTCAATCTAAAATGACACACTAATAGTATTAAATTCTTTCTTTTCTTTATTGCTTTCTGCAAAAGAACATTTAATGTTGTTAAAAATAAATAATTATAAAAAGAAAAAGAAAAACAAACTAAGGTATATGAATATGACGTCAATTAAACTTGTGAACTAGGATGTCAGATTAAAAGTAAAGAGAGATAGAGGGCGAGAGATACAGACAGATGTTTGTACTTCGTAGAGGAAGTTAGGTTGGAGGTTGAGACAGCTTACGTGACTTTATTTAACCTTAAAATGAAAATATTACGACAAAACAAATAAACAAATCATTGTTGGAAAATGTATTTTAAATTCTTACCGCAATTGTCAAATAATTATTACTGTATACGTTAATACGTAGATTTTCGAAGTAATGTAATTATATCGGAAGTCTTCTTTTTTTCTGTTAGTTTCGCCTGGTTTCGACCTTTTTTTTTCTTAAACAAAAAACATAAAGCAAAAGAAAAAGGGTAACTATGAGTTGGCACGCATGAGTGGCACGTGTGAGAACAACTAAAGCAATGTGTAATTTTCATTTCAAAGCCAAGTAAGCTCCTCAGAACAAACAAAAGTGTCAAAGAACCATTACTTTTTGTACCGTCAAAGAACAACTGTACTACTAGTTTTTACTAAATTAATCACACCAATAACATATTTATATTGCAAATTCAAGAAAAAAAAAACATGTAGTATACAGTTTGTGTATTGTTGTACGTTGTTGTATCATCAAGCAACTTCAAACCTACCCTAATATATGTTGTTGATAGTGTAAATTAATATACACTATAGATTTGAATTGAAGTTATTTTCAGATGATTTTTTTTTTTATTAAACTATATGTTTGGTATACAATGGAGGTTGGAACTGTGGCGTACGTATATAACTTCGGCGGATACGTATTCCATACACACTCGTGACTCGACCAAACATGCATTTCTTTTTTAGTTTTAACCAAACCATTTCGTTGCGAGACTACCCGATTTGATAAATTCTATATAGTACGTGTTTTTGCGTGTAATGTGCGCATATATGTATATATTTGTTATACACAACACACTCACACATTGACAAATCGTTGATACATACACAAATATTATGCATGCGTACATGTATACGTCACGTTTAAGTTTTAGGGTCCTTAACAAGAGAAGACAAATTCGTGAGAAAAAGGAAAAGCAAGAACAAAGAACTTGGTTACATGGAATAAATAATATGTATACTATATCATATGATCATATGTTATATATCGAGAAATGTGACCCTCTTATACCTTAATTAATAGTTTCATTTTGTGAAAGTGTTATATAGTAATACATCCTTGGTAATGAGGTTATACAATATTACATAGGATACTTTTTCATTTCAATGATCTCAATGGACCTACATTTTATCCAAAAAACTAAAGGACCTACAATCTGAAAAACAATAATAGAAATCATAATTTGTTATGCTTTTTTCGTAAACTATTAAAAATATAATAAGGTGTAACATTTGTTTCCCAAAGTGGATTGTACAACACAAATTCAATAAACTATGGGTGTTTGATGTCCCAAATCTTCGATGAATTCGCATGTTCCATGTCCGAGGAAAACATTTTATTTTATAATTATTATTTCAGGACTTATTGACTTATAGATGGACCGGCCGATCCCACGCACGTCTACATTGAGTTAACATACGAGATTCTTGAACTTCAAATATTAATCTACACTCAATATGATATCTAAGTTTCCACTTTTTTTTCTTTGATGTAAAGAATAAGGCCATTTACTGATTCGTTGAGAAAAAAGCTTAGGCTAAGCAATATTTTTTTCTTCGCGTGGTTAAAACATCATTTTCTGTGCTATATTTTGTAAGCAAATGTTTGGAACGTATTAGTAAGACAATATTCGATAACATAAATATTTTTTACGTCAAAGTCGACCGTTGGATCCCTAGCATATCGGGACCAGGCTTGGTAAAAGTTGTGTCCCACTCACGAATATTACTATAGTGCCCATAAAAAAGGTCCAGCAATTACTGATTAGTAACTAATTACTGATAAGTAAAAGGCAGACATGTCATTTCCTTTTGCGTATCGATTACTGTTCCCTATTCCCAAAACACACAGCTTTTGATTAAGATAATGTTTTCCAAATATATCGGTTTAATATTGTTATCCAGATATAGATTAATACTCCATCTTAAAACATGTAATTTTACAACATGTGAAACTGAAATTTCTTCCTCAATCTACTTCATCTTAGTGGTAGTTTTTTAAGTCATAATAGCGCAATATCTATCACTAATAAATTTATGGATCTATATGTATATTTATTACAAACAAAACGTATAGATTTTTCTAACGATTAATAATTAAATATTGTTGAAATCGAGAAATGTAAACTACTAATTACGAAAAACGTATCGTACTTTTTCATTTTGCTAATAATTTATTTAATCTCGTCTCTCTTTTAGATCTACTTGCTTTTTTTTGTCCCCATTTATATAATAAAATCCACCGCTCGAGCTCAACGTTCGCGTCTTCTTCATCTTTCTTCGCCTTCTCTCTGAGTCTAAACTCTTTCCGATTCCACTGAGCCAACTCGCGCGGAGAATAAGCTTGAAAAAAAATCTCTGGGATGGTCATTTCCTCTGCATTGGACTAAAGGAGTGTGGTAATGGCTGGTTCCGGGAGAGAATGGCCGGAGCGACGGTGAGTAAAACTCTATTTCGCCGGCGATCAATTCTCGGAGACGAAGATGTTTAGATCAGGTAAATGGCGGAACGAGAAGAACAGGATCAAAGTCGTCTTCAGGTTGAAGTTTCACGCGACTCAGGTAACAGTGATCGACGTCGAAGAGTCGGAGATTTTTCTAGTTTCGAATCGGAAGTTGATTTTGCTTGCATTGCGTTTCTCGGTTTCTGTGTAAACGGAATCTTCGCTTAGTTTTTTTTTGAAATTTCCAGAAACCGATCTCAAATTCGACGCCGGAACAGTGAAATCCGTTTTCCTATTTGCATAGCTACGGATTTTTGAAATTTGAAATTACTTTTCCGGCGTATGTTTAATCATCAATCATCATCATCGTTTCGTTTTGATTCGAGTTTTTTTTGTTTGTATTCAGGCGTCTCAGTTCAATACAGAGGGATTAACACTCTCTCTTGTTCCCGGAGATATTGGGAAACCGACGGCGAGGTCAGAGAAAGCTGTGGTGAGCAACGGTCAATGCCGGTGGGAGATTCCGGTTTACGAGACTGTGAAATTTCTCAAAGACGCCAAAACCGGGAAAGTTAATCAGAGAATCTATCATCTCATTGTGTCAATTACGGTGAGGAAACAAAACATAGAAATCTCAATCAGTGAAGATCTGAGAATTTATCATCTCTTTGATGATTTTTTTTTGTTCTTGGCAGGGATCTACAAGAGGTGGTTTGGTTGGAGAAGTTTCAATTGATTTTGCTGATTATGCTGATGCAATCAAGACTTGTAACGTTTGTCTTCCACTGCAAAGCTCAAATGCAAAAGCTTTGTTGCATGTTAGCTTCTTCTCTTTAATGCTTTGTGTCATAGCATATTTAAAGCTCATAAGATCTCTGCTTTTTTTTGGCTTTTTCTTATTAATGATTTGTGTCACTAAGCTCAGAAAAACTTGGTTTTTTGTTTTTCTCAGGTATCAATACAAAGGCAATTAGAATTTGATGATCCACAAAGGTGCAGAAAAACTTGACTCACTTTCTTTTTTTTCTCTATTGGTTGTTGTTGCAAGTTTTTTCTTGATGGAAGTGGCGTTTCTGTTTTCTGAGTTCTTGCAGAGAGGTGGATGAACATGAATGTGAGAGTCTTGAGAAAATGTCACAGGGTCAAGATTTAAGGTCACATTTGAGCATCCGTGATGCAGATGAGACTCATAAAAGCGACTCTCATGAGGTGTTTACATTTTTCCTTATTGCTTGCAAGAAAGTTGGATTTTTTTCCTCTGACTTCTTCTGGTTATCTTTATAGGAAGGTCCGTTTGGTAAAGCTGCTCGGTTAGCGGAGCTGAGACGAAGAGCATCGATTGAGTCCGATAGTACAATGTCAAGCTCTGAAAGTGTCTGTGAGCCTAAGACTCCTGAAGAAGTTGTTGCAGCCAAGTCTTTGAGACACCCTCCTAATAAGCAGCATCTCCGTTCAGCTAAAAGCTTGTTTGAAGAGCCAAGTGTATCAGAATCCGAGTGGTCTGGAAGTTCGAATGATACAATCGCTGTAGCAAGAAGCTCTTCGGATGAGGATGAGGTAGAGAAGCTTAAGACTGAGCTTGCTGGTTTGACTAGGCAAGCAGATCTTTCCGGGATAGAGCTGCAAAGCCTGCGGAAGCAAATCGTTAAAGAGAGTAAAAGAAGTCAAGATCTTCTCAGGGAAGTGAACAGCTTGAAGCAGGAGAGAGATTCGTTGAAGGAAGACTGTGAGAGACATGACAAGCAGAGAGGAGAGAGTAAAACGAGGAACAGGTTGCAGTTTGAAGGAAGAGATCCGTGGATTCTCTTGGAGGAAACGAGAGAGGAGCTTGATCATGAGAAGGATCGGAATTTCAATCTCCGGTTACAGCTCCAGAAGACGCAGGAATCGAACTCCGAGTTGATTCTTGCTGTTCAAGATCTCGAAGCAATGCTGGTGGAAAAGAGTAAAGAAGAAGGAGCAAGAACCTCTGATAACAACATTGAAGATGAAGATGATGAGGATCAAAAGGCACTTGAGGACCTCGTGAAGGGACACGTGGATGCGAACGTATTGGAGCAGAAGATCACAGACCTCTACAACGAGATTGAGATCTATAAACGTGAGAAAGACGAGCTTGAGATACAGATGGAACAGCTTGCTCTTGATTACGAGATACTGAAACAGGAGAATCATGATGTCTCATACAAGCTAGAGCAGAGCCAACTGCAAGAACAGTTGAAGATGCAATACGAATGTTCGTCTTCGCTTGTGAACGTGACAGAGCTTGAGAGCCAAGTGGAGAGACTCGAATCTGAGCTCAAGAAGCAGTCGGAAGATTTTTCTCAGTCCTTGTCACGGATTCAAGAGCTCGAAACGCAGACGGAGGCGATGGAGGAAGAGATGGAGAAACAGGCTCAGGTGTTCGAAGCGGACATCGATGCTGTCACGAGAGATAAAGTGGAGCAGGAGCAAAGAGCTATCCAAGCGGAAGAAGCGTTGAGGAAGACGAGGTGGAAGAACGCGAGCGTAGCTGGAAAACTCCAGGATGAGTTCAAGAGACTCTCCGAGCAGATGGATTCGATGTTTGTGTCAAATGAGAAAATGGCTATGAGAGCGATGACTGAAGCTAATGACTTGCGGATGCAGAAACGTCAGCTGGAGGAAATGCTCAAGAACGCTAACGACGAGCTCCGAGCAAACCAAGCCGAGTACGAGTCAAAGCTATACGAGCTCTCTGAGAAGCTGAGCTTCAAAACAAGTCAGATGGAGAAGATGTTAGATGAGAAATCCAATGATGTAGAGAATCAGAAGAGGCGTGAGGAAGAAGTTACTGCAGGTTTAAACCAAGAGATCAAAATCTTGAAAGATGAGATTGAGAATCTGAGAAAGGACAAAGATAGACTCATGTTACAGGCAGAGGAAGCAGAGAAGCTGAGAGTTGAGTTGGTAGAGACAAGAGAATCATTCATGGAAGCAGAAGCTTCACTACAGAGAGAGATAGAGTCTCTTGCAGAGGAGTTGCAAGCAGTGAAGCTTCTCAAGAATGAAAAAGAAGCAGAAATTACAGTCTTACAAGCCGAGATAGAAACTGTGAGAGAGCAGCGCGATGATCTGAAGCGTTATTTATCAGAGAATGATACAGAGATGGAGAAGCAAAAGAAGCAAGTGGGGCAAGTGAGAGGCGAGTTGAAGAAGAAAGAAGAAGCTATGGCTAATCTTGAGAAGAAGCTGAAGGAGAGCAGAGTTGCGTTTAACAACTTGACGAAAACCGGGCAAAGAAACAACAACAAAGGAAGTCCAGTAGTAGGATCTAAAGAAGTCATGGTTATGAAAGATAAAATAAAGCTTCTTGAGGTATATATATGCATCTCTAAAGATTCGGTTTTTCATTTCAGAATTGATATATAAGCTTTTGTTTTGTTTGTTGATCCAGGGGCAAATCAAACTTAAGGAAACTGCTCTTGAAGCTTCATCGAATATGTTCATTGAAAAGGAAAGGAGTTTGAAGAACAGAGTCGAGGAACTGGAAAGTAAACTCGACCAACTCAATCAGATGAGTGAGAGTGAGGCTCAAAATGGTGAAGAAGAAATCCGAGTTCTGGTAAAGGAAATGACGTCTTTGAGAGAATGTAATGAAACGATGGAGATGGAGCTGAAGGAGATGCAAGAGAGATACTCTGAGGTAAGTTTGAGATTTGCTGAAGTGGAAGGTGAGAGACAGCAGCTTGTTATGACTGTACGTAATCTTAAGAACGCCGCCAGGAGGAGCTAAAAAACCGGTTATAATCAGAACCGGTTATTGAAAATCATGCACACACATTTCCATCCTGTGTAATATATAAAGTTTTTTTATTTTAATTTTACTTATATAAATTTCTGAACAAAGATAATATGTAAAATTACTTTGTTGTTTTTTTTCCCAAGTAATTTGCATAAATATCAATCTCGTCGTTTTTTGTTGTAACCGGGCTTGATTTAATTGTAAAATCCAAACTTGTACCGCCAAAAACGTAACCGCAATTCCATTGAACTCGATCGGGTTCGCAAACCGGTCATTGTGGCAATCAAATTGAACCGGTCATTCTACCAATCTAATTGATTCACTCTCTTCACTCGTTAGCTCATTTGTTACATCTTAGAGCATGGTTACCTTTAAAATAAAGAGGACACACCTTTAAAATAAGGAATTTATAAGTTTTGGTTTCCAATGGAGACCTTTATCCTTACCCCTTAAAAAAATATTTTTGCATTATAGTCCTTAAAAATAACTAGAATCAATTATAATACTAAAACTTTCACAAAATGCAATAAAAACACTTTAATAAAATATTACACAATATTATTAATTAAAACATTACATAATAATATAAAATTACATTAAAACATAAAATTATATATAAAAATATTAAACTAAAATTACATTATTGTTTCCATAATTTTCCAATCAATGAATGTTTTTATTTGATTTTATGTGGTGTTAATTAAATTTCTTATTAGAGAGAGTAAATGTTAAAAAAAAATTATAATTTGAGACTATACTGATCACAAAAAGTATTATAAATGTTATTTGTAAGATTGTATAATTACAAGGACTAAAATGCAAATTCAAAATATTTTTAAGGGGGTGAACAGTGACCCCTTATATTTAAGGGTGTACTATTCATCCCTTTAAAATATAAGGGGATAAGGGTCCATTAGAATGCAAAACCCCTTAAATTATAAAGGAATAAGGGTCCATTGGAGATGCTCTTAGAGCATGTCACCCTTAAAATAAAGGGGACACACCTTTAAAATAAAGGGTTTGTAAGTTTTGTTCCAATGGAGACCCTTATCCTTACCCCTTAAAAAAGATATTTTTGTATTATAGTCCTTAAAAGTAACTATAATCAATTATAATACTAAAACTTTCACAAAATGCAATAAAAACACTTTAATAAAATATTACACAATATTATTAATTAAAACATTACATAATAATATAAAATTACATTAAAACATAAAATTATATATAAAAATATTAAACTAAAATTACATTATTGTTTCCATAATTTTCCAATCAATGAATGTTTTTATTTGATTTTATGTGGTGGTAATTAAATTTCTTATTAGAGAAAGTAAATGTTAAAAAAAATTATAATTTTAAACTAAACTGATCACAAAAAGTATTATAAATGTTATTTGTAAGATTATATAATTACAAGGACTAAAATGCAAATTCAAAATATTTTTAAAAGGGTGAACAATAACCTCTTATATTTAAGGGTACACTATTCATCCCTTTAAAATATAAGGGGATAAGGGTCCATGGAATGCAAAACCCTTTAAATTATAAAGGAATAAGGGTTTGGAGATGATCATAGAGTTCAGAGATCGAGAGAAGGAACAACAAAATCAGGCGAAGCTACAATGTTGGCTAGGGTTTGCAGATCGGGATCTTCTTCTTCTTCTACTGCTGCTAAATTGATCTGTGCGAGATCGATTCATCGTTGTGCCGCTAAGAAAGGTACGGTTTCAAAGAGTCTACCTTCTTCGTCAGTCACTTTTGAAGGAGAGAGTTTGAAATTGAAGAGTGGGTCTCATTATATTAGAAGCTTAGGTAATGCCATTGAATTGTTCGATGATATGGTTCGGTGCCGTCCATTCCCTTCAGCGATTGATTTCAACAAGCTAATGGGTGTTATCGTGAGAATGAATCGATCGGATATTGTTATTTCTCTCTATCAGATGATGGAAATGCGTCGAATTCCGTTTGATATCTACAGTATGAGTATTCTGATAAAGTGTTTCTGCACCTGCGAGAAGTTGCCATTTGCTTTGTCTACGTTCGGCAAGATCACCAAGCTTGGTTTCCAGCCTAACGTCGTCACGTTTAACACTCTGCTCCACGGATTATGTCTCGGAGATAAAATCTCTGAAGCTCTAGCTTTGTTTAATCAAATGGTTGAAACGGGATATGCACACGATGTCATAGCGTTCAACACACTGATGAATGGTCTTTGCCGCGAGGGCCGAATGCTCGAAGCAGTAGCTCTGGTTGATCGGATGGTAGAAAAAGGTCATCAGCCAGACATTGTTACTTACGGAACCATTGTGAATGGAATGTGTAAGGTTGGTGACACTGTCTCGGCCTTGAATCTGCTTAGGAAGATGGAGAAAAGCCACATCGAAGCCAATGTTGTAATCTATAGTGCCATCGTTGATCGTCTTTGCAAAGACGGACGTCATAGTGATGCTCAAAACATTCTCGATCAAATGCACGAGAAAGGAATTTTCCCCAATGTTGTGACCTACAACTGTATGATCAATGGTTATTGCAACTTCGGTAAATGGAGTGATGCGGAGAGACTGTTGCGTCAAATGATTCAAAGGAATATGGACCCTGATGTTGTTACTTACAATGCATTGATCAGTGCAATTTGCAAAGAAGGGAAGTTGTTTGAGGCTGAAGAATTGTATGATGAGATGCTCCGTAGAGGTATATCTCCTGATACGTTCACATATAATTCACTGATCGATGGATTTTGTAAACACGATCGTCTAGATGAGGCGAATCTCATGTTCGATTTGATGGCTAGCAAGGGCTGCTCTCCGGATGTAGTCACTTTAAATTCACTCATAGAAGGATGTTGTAGGGCTAAGAGGGTAGATGATGGAATGAAGCTTCTCCGTGAGATGTCTACAAGAGGATTAGTTCCTAATACAGTGACTTACAACACTCTTATTCATGGGTTCTGTCAGGTGGGCGATCTTGATGCTGCTCAAGACCTTTTCCAGGAGATGATTTCTCATGGTGTGTACTCTAGTATCGTAACCTTTGGTATTTTGCTGGACGGTTTTTGCAATCATGGGAAAGTAGAAAAGGCATTGGAAATGTTCAAGGTTATGCAGAAGAGTAAGATGGATCTGAATACTGCTGTTTATAACATTATCATGCATGGGATGTGCAAGGGTGGCAAGGTGGACGAGGCATGGGACTTATTCACTAGTCTTCCACTCCACGGTGTTGAATCTGATGTCCAAACTCACAATATATTGATCAGCGGATTTGTCAAAGAAGGGAAGTTCTTAAGGGCTGAAGAATTATACAGGGAGATGCTCCGAAAAGGTGTAGCCCCTGATACCATCACCTATAACTCAATGGTAGAAGGGCTCTGCAAGCAGAACCGCCTAGATGAGGGGAAACAGATTGATTGATTCGATGGCTAGCGAGGGCTGCTCTCCAGACGTAGTGACATTTAATACACTTATTAAGGGCTACTTCAAGGCTAAAAAGGTTAACGACGGGATGGAGCTTTTCCGAGAGATGCATCTAAGAGGAATAGTTGCTGATACAGTTACTTACAGCACTTTGATTCATGGGTTTTATCAAGTTGGTGATCTTCATGGCGCCTTAGAGAAACTCCAGGAGATGAAGTCTAGTGGTGTGGCTCCTGATACCTTAACTCTCCGCAGCATTCTTGCCGGTTTATGCAGTACGGAGGAACTGCCAAAGGCAGAGGCAATGTTGGTGGATCTGCAGAAGAGCGTGGTATGTATCTTGTTTATTTACTTTTCTTTTGGGGTTTTTCCGAGATGAATGTATATATAGTATTTCTAATTTTCTACATACAGGCCTTTGGCTGCACTTTCCAGATTGACCCTCTGATTAGTTTGGCGTTTTTTCTTTGCAGGATGGTGAATGAAAGAATGGTAGATTTTCTGTCTTTAGCAGCAGCAGAGCTTCAGTCCCATTTTTCTTTTTTTCTGGATCTATTGTTTATCAAATTACAAACTAATAAAATTTTGTTAAGCTTGGTAATTATCTTTCATTTTCATCGTTTTAATATTCTCAAGGAATGTTGAAATGAGGTATGTTATGTGATGGCCAGATGAACATAAACTTGTTGGATATAATTTGGTCTGATGTCTCAATAGTTTTTCTCTTTGCTTTTTGGTCTCTCTGCAAACATGTGTATTTTGGAGTGAATGGTTGCAGATATGATCTCTAGTTCTCGACATGAATCTGAAAATAGAGATCCCAAAGTGCATAGGGTTGTGCTTACTTGTTATAACAGATGCAGCAAAAAAACTCTTCGGATATATTGTCTTAGTGTTGAGTTTTTGTTTGTCTGCTTAGGGAGTTTGGTATTGTCTTTGTGTTGATTTAAGAGAATTGGTCTGTTGTTTCAAAGCCTTTTCCCTCAGGCATTTCTCTTAAATCTGATTTGTGCGAAGGTCAAAATATCTCTTTTCCTATTTTACTTGTTTTGTTCATACTTGGTAGCAATTCTTTGGTCTGATTCCGATGTCTCTATTTGAAGATTGCTTCTGACTTTCTTTGGTGCTGCTGCATCTTGGTACATGCTTCTCCTCGTTTATATGTTTATATGTTACTTCTCATTCAAGCGAGTGTGTCCTACTCATTTGGTATGGCTTTTATCTGTGTTAGTCCCTGGTGTTTGATTGTAACATAGTTAAGTGCTTTGGCATCTAAATATTTTGATTTAGTTGATATCTACCCCTGGTGTTTGATGAGTGTGTGCTGTAGAATGCATAGTAACAGATGGTCAAGCTAATTGCTTTTGATAAGTTTGACAACACATCTGAAGCTCTCGAAGCAGTGGCTAAGTTGCTTGAGGGAACTCCAAGCAAAGGTCTCCGCAAATTTTTGAAAGCTAACTGTGAAGGTAAAACCTTAGCGGTGGCTGATTCAAAGCCTGGAAATGTCATCAAGGAGAAGCTGGTTTGTATTTTTTTTTCTCTGTTTTGTTCTTATGATAGTTTTATCTCATACAGAAAATCGATTGTGTTCACAACAATGCTGTAATGGAGCTACTACGAGGTATTAGAAGTCAGTTCACATAACTGATATCTGGTTTGGGTGATCAAGACTTAGCTCCTATGAGCTTGGGTCTGTCTCACAGTCTCGCTAGATACAAGCTCAGGTTCAGCTCTGACAAGGTATCTCTTTGTTTCTGTTAGAACAAGTAATACTTGGACCTTTTGCTCTTTGCAGAATGCATAGTAAAAAGTATTGACTTTGATCTCTTCTGACTAGTTCCAAACATGACAAGTGAATGTTTATGGTAGTCAAGTTGCGGAAACAAAACCCATGACATGGTAACAGAGTCTAAATCTACATATTATTCAGTATCAGGAACCATTTAACTTGATTTTCGGTGGAAAGCTCTTATACTTGCCTTTTATGTGATTCATAGTTATTAGATGAACTTGGTTTGGACACCTTAAAAGCTCCCTTTACTAAATGAGTTTAATTTCGTTCCCTTTATTAGCTGTTGTTATTGAACCGGTTTGGTAATTAGTATTAAACCGGATACCCACCGGTTTGCATTTCTCTCTCATTTCAGTCTACATAAAACTGGTTTTGTTCATCGGAGTTCTCGTTGCTCCTCGGAACCCTAAACCGGAACTGTACCGTTGAGATTGAGAAGGAACCTAATATTAAACCGGAGCTATACCGGTTTCTGTCGCTCTACGTTGATTGAACAACATTACACAGACAGAGTAGAGTGATAAAATCGTTTTTCGATTTGCAGAGCGAAAAGATCGAATTCCTGAAGAAGAATCTGCGAAATTGAGAAGGAACTCAAAACAGCTGAAGTCAAATCGAGAGGACGGATGAGATCGATTCCGAATGCAATTGCATCATCGTCGATGAAGAGATTTGTTCACCGTAATCTCCAGGGGAAAGGTATTCCTGGAACTGCTCCTCCTTCGTTTAGTCATTGCGGTTTCCGTTGCTGGGAACGAGCTTTTTCTGCTCTCGCTCATGATTTCAGAGAGAAATTGAGGCATGGGCTTCGTGATATTAAGTTAGATGATGCATTGGTTTGTTCAGTGAAATGGTAAGTCTCGTCCTTTGCCTTCCATTGTTGATTTCAGTAAATTGTTGAGTGCATTGCAAAGATGAAGAAGTATGATGTTGTCATCTCTCTGGGCGAGCAGATGCAAAAGCTGGGAATTGCACATGATCTGTATACTTACAGTATTTTCATAAACTGTTTCTGCCGCTCCTCTCAACTCTCTCTCGCTTTAGCTCTTCTTGGGAAGATGATGAAACTTGGATGAGCCCAGCATTGTCACGTTTAACTCGCTTCTCAATGGTTTCTGTCACGGGAATAGGATCTCGGATGCAGTCTCTCTGCTTGATCAAATGGTGGATTGGGATATGAACCTATACCGTCACATTCAACACTCTAATCCATGGACTCTTTCTCCACAACAAAGTCTCAAGGCAGTGGCTTTAGTTGAACGGATGGTCTGAAAGGATGTCAACCAGATTTGCTTACTTATGGTGCGTTGGTAAATGGAGTGTGCAAGAGAGGTGACACTGAATTGGCTTTAAAGCTTCTTAAGAAGATGGAGGAAGATAAAATAGGCCAGATGTTGTCATCTACAACACTGTCATTGATGGTCTCTGCAAATACAGGCATCCGGATGATGCTCTCAACCTTATTAATGAAATGGAGAAGAAAGGTATTAGACCACGTTGTCACCTACACTCCTGATAAGCTGCCTTTGTAATTACGGAAGATGGGAAGATGCTGCTGGACTACTGAGTGATATGATTGAGAAGAAAATCAACCCGGATGTTGTTACGTTCAATGCATTGATCGATGCGTTTGTGAAAGAGGGGAAGCTTTTGGAGGCTGAAAATTGTACGAGGAGATGATAATAGGTCTATAGCTCCTAATACTATTACTTACAATTCACTGATCAATGGGTTTGCATGCAAGATCGCCTAGAGGAGGCCAAGCAGATGTTTGATTTGATGGTTAGCAAGGATTGTCTCCCAAACGTTGTGACATATACTACTCTGATAAATGGATTTTGCAAGTCTAAGAGGGTAGAGGATGGCATGGAACTGTTTCGTGATATGTCTCAAAGAGGATTGGTTGGCAACACAGTCACTTACACACTCTTATCCAAGGGTTTTTCCAAGCTGGAGATTGTGAGAGTGCCCAACAAGTTTTCAAACAGATGGTTTCTGTGGTGTGCCTCCCAGTATTATGACATACAACATTTTGTTAGATGGGCTCTGTAAAAACGGGAAGCTGAGAAAGCATTGGTCATATTCCAGGATATGCAAAAGAGTAAATGGAACCTATTATTCACTATAATATTATCATTGAAGGGTTGTGCAAGGCTGGGAAGGTGGAAGATGCGTGGAAGTTGTTTTGTAGCCTCGACCTCAAAGGAGTGAAGCCTGATGTTGATGTTGTAACCTACACACACAATGATCTCAGGATTCTGTAGAAAGGTTTAAAGGAGGAAGCAAGTGCCTTGTTCAGGAAAATGAAAGAAGATGGGCCTCTCCCAAATAGCGGTGTTATAATACGCTGATTAGGGCATATCTTAGAGATGGTGACAAAGCCGCATCAGCAGAACTCATCAACGAAATGAAGAGCTGCGGGTTTGCTGCAGATGCTTCAACCTTTGGCTTGGTCACTCATATGTTGTCTGATGGGAGATTGAACAAAAGCTTCCTCGATATGCTTTCTTAAAGCATCGTTTGAGGTGAATTAGCTTTTCTTCTAATAATTTCTGAACGCACTTCTTATGTGTTCCCACGTTATATATGGACTGATACTGTCGTTTGTTTATGTCCTTGTTAGGTTGCAGACACACTTTGTTAACACATGATCAGTGGTGAGTGTCAGTCCATGATTCTTCTGTTTTTACTTTACATTTGGTTTTAACCAAACTTAGTCTATAACTTGGAAGTTAAATGGTTGTTTAGGAAAAACTGTGGTTCTTTTTGGTTGAGAAAAGTAATTTCAGTTGGTTTTTCACTCTTTACTCTGTTTTCCAAGATGAGAAAAGTAAAACGCACCTTGCTTTCAAGTTCTTTCATTGATTTAGATTTAGTTGATATCCTCCCATAGTTTGATGATTTGTTTGCAGGTGCGTTCTTGCCTTTCCCAATGGACACAGTGTAGAGACTACTTGTCTTTGTATCTAGAAGCTGTTGATTGTCAAAATCCTGCGTAAGTATAATAAATGAATTTTCACAGTCTGCTCACTAGTTTGATTCGTTTTGGTGAATGGTCCTTGTGAGTGTCAGTATCAGTTTTGACTAGAGTTCTATGTTGCTAAATTGTGTTTGTGTGTGCTTTAGATCTTACTCATAGCTGTGAGTTGAATCAATTTTGTTGTGCCATTCTAGTGACAACCTTTTATCATCTACTATTCTTTTGCTGTTTTTTTTTTTTTTTACATTTCTTTATGAGCTTCATGGCTTTGACGATTTTATAGTTGTTCAGGTTGGTTTCAGACCAGAGTTTATCTAAACACTTTGTGCTAGCAAAATCAGTGGTTAGAAATCAGAGAAGCCCTCTTCAAGAAGAATGATACAATATTTTCAAAAATGTTTAAGGTTTTAATCATTTCAGCTTTAAGTTGTTTTTTGGTATATTGGTTGTGTAAACATGGAAAATATTCTCCTTTATATAACCTTTTAAGGAGTTGAACAAAGTGAATATCTTATTTTGGATTAGGTTGTTCATAAGAATATCGTATTCTTTGGTCTGATTCCGATGTCTCTATTGAAAGATTGCTTCTGACTTTCTTTGGTGCTGCTGCATCTTGGTGCATGCTTCTCCTCGTTTATATGTTTATATGTTGCATCTCACTCAAGCGTGTGTGTCCTACTCATTTGGATATGGCTCGCTTTTGTCGATGCTATTCTCTGGTGTTTGATTGTCATATGTAACATAGTAAAGTGATTTGGCATCTAAATACTTAGATTTAGTTGATATTTTCCCATGGTTTGATGAGTGAGTGCTGTAGACTTGGACCTTTTGCTCTTTGCAGAATGCATAGTAAAAATTTTGATCTCTTCTGAGACTAGTTTGAAACATGACAAGTGAATGTTCACATATCACGCAACTAAATGGTAGTTGAGAAAATGAGGAGATTGTTTGCCATAACAGCCAAGGGACAGCAGGTTCTGGAGAAAGGTAATCCTGGAACTGTGTTTCTCTGTTGGGAGTTATGCATGAAGAGATGCGGTTTTGCTGGAGATGCTTCAACGTTTGGCATATTTGGTTTTTCATAAAATGGTTTGGTTTTTCACTCTCGGCTCTGTCTTCTTTATACGGAATATTTGCTTCTCTTAGAAAAATATGTGATATTGAGATTGTTATACATTGGTTTTTTAAAACGAGTTTTCCACTTTGGATCCTGAAACAAAGATTTGAATCTCACGCGTCTCCCAATATCTCGGACGTATGACGAGGAGAGAAAAGGTCAAAGCTACACTTAAGGAGCACGTGTAACAACCAACGTGACGCCATTTTAAGGGACTTTTTTGTACCTTACACTTTGATTTTACCTTACACTTGATTTTTTTTTTTCTTGCAAGATCCTCAAACTGGTTATCTAATTGATTAAGTAAGGACTTGATTTAGGGTTTCTGTTTATATGATTTGGGTCAAAATACTCACGTATTGATCTGCAAATTGATTTGGTTTTTCATTTTTTTTTTTAAATGTTTAGAAAGGTGAGACTAATTGAAGTATCATGGATAAGGAGAAAGATCAAGAAGTTAATTGGCTTGAAGCTCAGAAGATAGAGATAAGCGTTGACTTACTTGCTGCAGCCAAGCAGCAGCTTCAGTTCCTTGAAACTGTTGATAGGCATCGATGGCTCTACCAAGGCCCTGCTCTTGAAAGAGCCGTCTACAGGTTTAAAACGACCGTATTTTTGTGTGTTTGTATATAGATCAGTGAATCTTTCAAAGTTCTTGATGGGTTCTTGATTGTTCAAAGTTGTGAATTTTGGTGATTGCTCGCAGGTACAATGCTTGTTGGCTTCCATTGCTAGCTAAATACTCTGAGGCTGAGTCATTAGTTAGTGAAGGGCCTTTGGTCCCTCCTCTTGACTGTGAATGGATTTGGCATTGTCACAGGCTTAATCCGGTAAAGCTAAATCAGAACATTCCTTAGCCACATTAAGTCATTAACAACCTTTTCTTCTTTGTTTGATTTTTTTGAGTAATTTGTTTCTTGTAATACAGGTTAGGTTTAAGTCTGACTGTGAGCAACTTTACGGGAGAGTTGTGGACAATTCCGGCGTCGTATCTTCCGTTAACGGAAACTCCAAACTAAAAACTAAAGCTTTATGGAAGAACTTGTATCCGGAGGAACCTTATGATCTAGACTTGAATAAGGACGTCTCTGAAAGATCATCTGAGAAACACACCAAATATGATCTTGTCTCAGCTGCTAAGAGGCAAAGCGCGTTTTACTACCAGGTTATATAATGAATGATTTTGTAAACCACAAGTATGGATCTTTCTTCATTCTCATTGATGTGTTTGTTGTTTGCCACAGGTTTCAAGATCTTATGTGAGCAACGAAGTTTTTCTACAAGAAGCTGTTGCTAGATACAAAGGGTTTCTCTATCTGTGCATCAAGAAGAACAGTTGTGCTCCGACTGTTGACGTTGACCTCATCTGGCACACGCATCTGCTTCACCCTTAATCTTTCTCTAATGATACGGTGAAGCTTTTCGGTGAAGTGATGGGGCATGAAGAAACAGATTCTGGTGGAGGCAAAGGTACCAAGATCAATACAATTATTGCGAATACAATCTCTCAGTGGGAGGAAACGTTTGGTAGAAGATATTGCAAAGCCGGCGCATAGTATAGATGCAATGCACATGCACCTCTCACAACTTGTCCTTTTGCTTCTTCTTCTTCTGATGTTTTGAGCAAAGAATCAACTGAAAAAGAAGATTTCAACAACTTAATCCAGTTTCCAGAGGTGCAAGTTGTTGAGGTAATAACTAGTAAGTGACTATTTTGTTCAGTTTTCAAGAACTTGAGCCGTCTTCTCACTTTCTTGAATCATGCAGGTTCTCTTGGAGATTGTTGGGGTAAGAAACGTACCAGATGGTCATAAGGGAAAGCTCTCGGTCGTGTTCAGTAAAACCCGACCCGATTCTCTCTTCGATGCCGAGCCTAGACTGTCGATTTTATCCGAGGCTGGGGAGAAGCAAGCTGCTTGCTTTCAGTGTGAAGCTAGAGGAGAGCTTCGTTTCCAGCTTCTCTCATCTTCACCTTCTAAGTTACAAGTTTGGAGAGCGCCTAAAAGCTTAGGCTCTGCTTCTTTTTCAGTAGAGGAGTTTCTGTCTCCGGTTGTTACTCAACTCTCTGTTGAGAAGTGGTTGGAGTTGACACCTGGCAAAGCAGATGCTAAACCTATAAGCATCCGAGTCTCTCTCTCGTTTACTCCACCGACACGGTTCCCATCTGTTTTACACATGGTTGAGCCGAAACCCTCGTGGATAGGCTCTTGCTTTGTCAGAAAGTCTCGTCATGCTAAGAGGTGGACAAGTGTTGTTGCTGGAAACGAGACAGAGCTTCTCACACTCCAAATGAGCTCTAGTGATGGAGCAGCACTCAAAGTGATTGGTGGGACAGACTCTGGTGAAACTCGCGTGCTCGCAGAGTGTAATGGCACTTTCTGGTCTCTGTTGGAGTCGAAATGGTCACTTAAGCTAACGAATGCAGATAAACCGGTCTTGGAGCTTTCTGGTCCTCGAGTGGTATGTTCCTCAATCTCTCTGAAACGTTTCGAAAACGTAAATGCACTCTTATGATGGAAAAAAAAATGTTGGTATATACAGGTGAAAGTTTTCTCAGGGAGGAAGCTGGATTATGAGCACAAACACTGTGGAGACTGTGGAGAGCGTAGAAGTGATAAAGATTTCATGACCCTTGTGGAGTTCTCTAAGCAACATCCATATGGAAAAGCTGTTGGATTGTTGGATATGAGATTTGGTTCCTTTGAGGCAAGTTTTGGTTTCTTTTTTTCGGTTTGGTGATATGATGTCATGATGATGATCATTTTGACTCTGTTATTCGATGTTGCAGGCCAAGGAGAATTGGTTGGTTTTACCAGGAATCCTATCTGCTTTCATACTCACTACTGTTTTGAAGAAAGAAAGGAGGATTCCACGAAAAAGAATGCTTTTGCCGTCACCAAAAGAAGTCATGATTGTGGCTTAACGTTCTCATAAATTTCTTCGAACCCGAAGAGAAACCAAACCGCACAAAAAAAAGAAAGAAGCTCATTGATATGCATTTGAATAAAAGTTGCTCATTGGTTTTAGTAGTTATTGTTTTCTTTCTTCCAGTTTTGTCTCTTTGTTTTAATTTTTCATGGTTGAAATAATGTTTTTTTTTTTAATAAAGTTGTAAGTTTTTTTTTCTTTCCAATAAATAAAAGTCCTCAGATTGCAGAGCTGGTCTTGGATGGTATTATTTTAACACGGACACTCTTGAAAAACTGATGGGCACATCTAATCTGAGGCGTGGAATATCACCACTTCAGACAGAGTTGGAAACTCTTATTTGGGCTATGCAGTGTATGTTAAGGAATAACAAATTAATCATGGTTTTTCAGACGGACTGTTCCGATATTTTGCAAGATGATATGTTCATCGAGAAAGGGAGCTTCGGTTAAAAAGTCTTTATGCAGAATCACGACTGTGGTATTGCTAGAAGATGCTTTGAAAAGTGAGAGAAGAAATTTGGAAAGTCTTTATGCAGAATCACTCCTGCTCACTAGTTTGGGAGTTTGCAACAGGTAAATGGAGCCGTTGAGATTTGGAACAATCCAGTGCCATGAGACTTAGCTTCTGAAGCGATCACACTGAACACAACTTGGAGCAGCATGCTCACTAACACTCCTCTCACTGTTATCTGCTTTGTCCACGGTTCGATTTGACAGAAACATTGAATCTTTCTGCTTCTGTCCATGATCTCTTTTTGACTATTTTCTTTTTAATTTTCACAATGTATTGTAATATTATTTATGCGATGATTTCTTTTTGACTAGTTTCTATTCAAGTTTCATAATTGTAATATTGACTTATTTTTCTGGACACGAGTATTGTTGCATTTTAAATTTTCACGATTACGTCCACGGCGGCCAGAAACATTGTTTCATCGCCGCCATACGTTCCTTCGAGCTCTGCGCATGATAATTTCATCCGAACCGGTCAACGAGCCAATTAAATTTGAACCGGCCACCGAATCAGAAAAAAAATCCAATTAAACAGAGAACCGTGCCGATTAATTGAACCGGTCGTCGTTTTGTGATGCTCAATCTCAATTCTCCAATTAAGGAGGGTTCACAGACTTACAGTCGCTGAGTCGAGTCAGTCACTTCGTTAGCTCATTTGTTCAGAGTTTAGAGATTGACAAGGAAGCTAAATCAGGCGAGAACAAAATGTTGTCTAGGGTTTGTAGATCTTCTTCTTCGTCTTCTTCTGCTGCTAGATTGATCAGTACGAGATCGATTCATCGTCGCGTCACGCAGAAAGGTACATCTAGAAAGCGTCTACCTTCTTCGCCAGTCCATTGCAGTGGTAGCTTAGGAAAATTTGAAGGAGAGAGCTTGAAATTGCGAAGTGGGTTTCATTATATCGAAAGCTTAGATAATGCGATTGAATTGTTCGATGATATGGTTCGGTGTCGTCCCTTCCCTTCCGCGATTGATTTCAACAAGCTAATGGGTGTCATCGTGAGGATGAATCGACCGGATATTGTGATTTCTCTCTATCAGATGATGGAAATGCGTCGGATTCCGTTTGATATCTACACTATGAATATTATGTTAAAGTGTTTCTGCAGCTGCCACAAGTTGCCATTTGCTTTGTCAACGTTTGGCAAGATCACCAAACTTGGTCTCCAGCACTGATGAATGGTCTTTGCCGCGAGGACCGAATGCTCGAAGCAGTAGCTCTGGTTGATCGGATGGTAGAAAAAGGTCATCAGCCAGACATTGTTACTTACGGAACCATTGTGAATGGAATGTGTAAGGTTGGTGACACTGTCTCGGCCTTGAATCTGCTTAGTAAGGTGGAGAAAAGCCCCATCGAAGCCAATGTTGTAATCTATAATCACATCATTGATCGTCTTTGCAAAGATGGACGTCATAACGATGCTCAAAATCTTCTCGATCAAATGTACGAGAAAGGAATTTTCCCCAATGTATTTACCTACAACCGTATGATAGATGGTTTTTGCAACTATGGTAATTGGAGTGATGCGGAGAGACTGCTGCGTGAAATGATTCAAAGGAATATCGAGCCTAATGTTGTTACTTACAATGCATTGATCAATGCATTAGTCAAAGAAGGGAAGTTGTTTGAGGCTGAAGAATTATCCGATGAGATGCTCCTTAGGGGTATATCTCCCAATACGATCACATATAACTCAATGATCAATGGATTTTGCAAGCATGATCGTCTAGATGATGTGAGTCTCATGTTTGATATGATGCTTAGCAAGGGCTGCTCTCCAAACGTAGTGACTTTAAATTCACTCATAGACGGATGTTGTAGGGCTAAGAGGGTAGATGATGGAATGGAGCTTCTCCATGAGATGTCTAGAAGAGGATTAGTTGCTAATACAGTGACTTACAACACTCTTATTCACGGGTTCTGTCAGGTGGGCGATCTTCATGCTGCTCAAGACCTCTTCGATGAGATGATTTCTCACAGTGTGAGCCTTGATATCGTAACTCTTAACATTTTGCTGGAAGGTCTCTGCAATCATGGGAAAGTAGAAAAGGCATTGGAAATGTTCAAGGTTATGCAGAAGAGTAAGATGGATCTTGTTACTGCTGTTTATAACATCATCATCCATGGAATGTGCAAGGGTAACAAGGTGGACGAGGCATGGGACTTATTCACTAGTCTTCCCATTGATGGTGTGGAGCCTGATGTTCAAACTCACAATATATTGATCAGCGGATTTGTCAAAGAAGGGAAGTTTTTAAAGGCTGAAGAATTATACGAGGAGATGCTCCGGAAAGATATAGTCCCTAATACTATCACCTATAACTCGATGGTAGAGGGGCTTTGCAAGCAGAACCGTCTAGATGAGGCGAAACAGATGATTGATTCGATGGCCAGCGAGGGCTGCTCTCCAGACGTGGTGACATTTAATACACTCATTAATGGCTACTGCAAAGCAGGAAGGGTTAACGACGGGATGGAGCTTTTCCGAGAGATGCATCTAAGAGGAATAATTGCTGATACAGTTATTACA